AGAACAGGGGACAACATGTTCTGTCTGTAGGCTTTCATATAAACCCTGATCCTGGATTTACAGTTTGTTCCTGTATATCAGACATATAGTGTTTATACTGAAAGTGTAGACTATCGAGCAAGACATCTACCATACAAAACCATCCACATTGATCAGGGATTGAACTCTAGTTGTTTACAGGTTGTGGGTTTAATTTATTAGCAGATTAGCCATTGCTAATATCATATAAAGATTTTCTATTAGGGGTTTTGTGGCTAAAACTGGTCATTCTGATTATTTTATTTATTTTATTAAATTTTATCAACTAGTCATGATTCTTAAAGTAAAGTCAGTAAAGTAAAACATAATTTACGTAGCACCTTTTATAGAGCATGATGCATAATGTGCTTTACAATACAAGAGAAAAGCACAACAGGTCCTAGATGTGTGCATTGGAGCTAAAAAATCTTTTCTAGGTGGTTTTCAATCGCGTGTTTTAAATAAAAAGAGATGTCTAAACACTGCACTGTGGAAACTAGGAACTAAGTATTGTCTTAAGGGCAGTTTGTTTGGTCTAGACCGTAAATCATTTGAACTTTTGATGTGGAATAATTTCCACCAAATGTCACCATTGCTATAGCCTGCAGACAGGGTTGTACTCTGTTGAAATCATTACAGCGGGACTCTCTTCACCACTGCGTCAGACTCATGCATGACAGATATTGTTACAGACAAAAGCAAATTAATAGACTCAAGACTTTTGAGATTGAACAAAACATTCTTAGCACCATTTTCTTCTTTATTTTTCATTTCTGGAGCAGACAGTTGTTGTTTGTCTCCTTGATACCAGATAAGGTCATGAACCAGAGGTAGTTTTTGTGGTCGACCACTAGACGGCGCTGTGACGTGACCCTCAGCAAGGTGACAGCTGGTTGCTATGGAAACAGTAGTGCATGACACCCTGGTAACTGTTTCAGTGGGCATGACTCAGCAGAACAGAGAGAGCTGGAGGGATGAAGTGATTCGGGAGGAAGACCAGAGGACTAACCCAAAGATGATAGACAGGACAGGGAATGAAACAGACTGCAAGAGTCCTGGAGGAAAGAAATGAAGCGGGGATAAAAACAAATAAGTAAAAAGAGGGAATTGGCCCGCGGAGCAGCAAATAGTTTCCGAGGTTGCAGAGTTCACTGGGTTCAGGAGATGACGACAGCTTTACATTAGAGCTGCAGTGAGAATCTCCCGTGTAACAGAGCTCTGTCCCTGCAGTGAGTTGTGGTTAGAAGATTATTATTAGTAATTGCATGGTGGTGGATCAGCAACATGTGCCACATACAGTCATATGTTCAGTGTTATCCTTTCTACGTCCCAATGACCTCATGTTCAGTGTCTAATTACACTGCAAAAATGCAATATAAATGGGATAATCTTATATTAGGATTAGGATTTGAACTATATCTGGACTTGTTTCAGTTCTGTTCAAATAGCGACAAGGGAACATCCACCTCAGTGTCACACTAAGAGTCCTGCGTTAGACAGTGACGAAAAATACGAATGGAAATGAATTAATGTTGGACAATGTATTACAGCAGAAAGCTGCAGAAAGTTTATCTGAAAGTCACTGCTGCAGTTTGAATTGCTGTGTTTCATTCCATCAACATGACACAAATATTCACTGTTACAAGATATGTGACCCAAATCAGTAGAGAAATCTATAATTTCCACATTACTCCCACGGGCCGCTTTGGTCTGATGATCATGATGATGAAGAAGTCATTTCTGGAAACAAGCCTCCAGGTCTTTGTTATCAGGACGTGTATGTGCAAATGAGTGACTCAGTGCATCAGTTAATTATAGGAACTATCATTTTTCATTTGGGTTATAGCTGTTGTTAGTCATTATTTCACTGGCACATCAAGTTACAGATGAGGTGGTTTCTCTGTCCCAGCTGGCTCAGACAACCTGCCTCCTCAGCAATCCTGCTGAAGTTGAAGCTTTAAAATCAGGTTTTTAAAAATATCTTCTCCATCTATCTCCTGCAAATGTCTGTCACCTACCTTGTCCTGTGTTGGGTGTCATTTAAAACAAATAAAGTGAAAACATAAATATTTTCTGCAAGACAGTGACAAAAACTTTCATTTTAATGTTGTCAAAGCACGCAGAAACCTTGAAAGCCTCTTTTCCTAGATTGTCAATTCACAATAATAAGATACTTTGATATATTTGATCATACATACTTTTACATTTTCATCATTTTCTGGAATCAAACCTGTATACGAGGTAGGGTGAATGTCAAAGAACACAATTTCTGACCTACTAGCTGTAATGGAAATTGTCCACCTACTTCCTATTTAAATGTGGCTGTAGTTACTCAGTCAAACCACTAAGTGTCAGCAGTTAACTCAGTATTACATTCAACCTGGCTTGAATGAACGAGACATCCCTGTCCGTGGGCCCTCCTCCTGCTGCACTGTGTCTGCCTGTGATTGGATAAGCTAGCTCTTCGTCACTGCTAATTCCTAGTCGGTTTATTTTCTGAGCTGGTGGAGAAATTCATCACTGTTTGTCCGACCTGCTTAAAGGCAGAATCAGCAGGTGGGCTCACTTTATTAGTGTTGTTCCTTGGTACTAATTTAGGCCTGTATATTGCATCAATCGATCACCATTTGTGTCAGTTACAACTGACTTAATGTAGACTAGTCAACAAGTATGTGCAGGTTTTTAAGCAATGCCCCCAGTGCTTAGGCAGCTCCTAACTTAAAAGCTGATGTACAGGGCTGAATACCACCATCAAGCACACTGTTACAAGCGGAAACAAGACAGCACTTATAAAAGACATTCCAGATGTTTATCTTGTTTGTCTACTTACCTTTCATTAGTGCTTTTCAATATAATGCGGTAACAGTTAGTCATGAGTAAGCAACACGAATTAGACTGATCATTTTTATTTTTATCATTTGTTTAATCTTGTTTAGTAATATAAATAAGTTGGAGGTCGTGGAGTTTGTTATCCGTCTGTCTATTCTGTCACGGTAGTTGGGGGCAGCAATACTTGGAGGAACATTGCATAATATCTTGTCGGCTGTTCATTAATTGGAGACAGCGCTGTTGCTCTCAAGTTCCAACAAAACCAGAAATATCTACATGCACCATAGTGAAGTGGGCCTCTGGTCACAGTCATATTTCTTCGCAGTGGTCAGAGTTGTGTGGCTTAACTAAGATTTTTCAAATTTGCTTTTCAGAACAGCTTTAAGATGTAAGAACGTAAAGGCTCAGCCTCGTGAAGCCACTCTGAGCACAGATGGAGCCTGAATCATGATAATTAAAAATCTCAAGATCAATCACGATGCTTCAGTGCACATTATCGACAAAAGAGCTGCTAAATATATGATCAAAAGCTTTGGAAAGTCCAACATGCAGCTGTTGTGTCACATGAAAAGCTGACACTGGGTTCAGATGAAGGTTGCAGTCTGATTACGACAGCTCATGATGCCATGTAGCCACAGCGAAGGGATGAAAGCCTTGGGGACTTGATTAGTGCTTTTCTCCCATTGGTTCATTCCTTTTCCGTGTGTTTGTGTATGAGGTTCTCTTATGCTTGTGGTGCTTTCGGTTAATTGGAGAAGATGGATTACCATTGCTTTGACCACTTGAGAGCGCTGCCTGCTAGTGGTCCCCATCCATATCTGTCTCTGTGAAAATATTCGCCATACATTAGGCACTTACTGTATATGCAAAGTGTTATGAGTTCATACATCTGCAGTGTTGGGTGACGAATCGTCTTGTACTGCCATGCAGCACTGTACAGGATCACATGTACAGTATGTATGAGCTGTGTTATCCTACTTATGTGCAGTGATGGTGGGTGGAGGCCTATAGAGGCTTTAAGACTGGCAACAGGCCCTTAAATGTGTTCAGTATGTAAGATGTTGTGCTCAAATCAGAATGCTACGTTACTATTTATATGTTATTATTGGTCCAACAGTCCAAACCCAAAAACACAATTGACAATGATATAACAGGCAGAAAATTGTCACATTTTGAGTTGCTGAAACCAGAAAATGTGTGACATTAGTGATTTAAACAATGAATCCATCCATTAACAATTGTTTCAGCACAGCACTAACAGTTTATACTTTTAAAAATCAGATTGAAAAGGTCTATTTTGGGGCTAATCCGGTGGATTAAATGCCTGTAAAATCCAGGTAGCTCATCACGTAAAATCCAGGTAGCTCATCACATTAAATCCAGCATATTCCATGTTACCATTAGAAAGTCCTGCTCATTGATTTCAACGTTACCTGCAAGGACCTAATACAGCCAGCGATATTAAACGCTTCGATATTTCTGTATAGATGGTATAAAAAGATCTCGCATTTCTACTGACTCATACTATATTTACTAACCCTAACTGCTTGTGTGTGTGTGTGTGTGTGTGTGTGTGTGTGTGTGTGTGTGTGTGTGTGTGTGTGTGTGTGTGTGTGTGTGTGTGTGCGTGCGTGTGTGTGCGCCCCCCACCCCCTTGTGATCCTTTCACAGCGTCCAGCGTCCCCTCCTGTTTTTCTTCTGTCCTTTTCAACTTTCTCTTAATTCCCTCAAATCTCTTTCCTCACTCCCCCCTTCTCCCTGCTCCTCTCCCTTTAACCCGAGATCCATTCATAACCTGGAGCTTGATGGACAGAATGAAGATTGAGGGGAATAGATGGAAAGAGAGTGAGAGAAAAACAGATTGAAGTGTTTGAAGCGTTTCTCATTAATGTTGCATAGACGCAACAGTCTGATTTAGATTTGATTTCTCTCCTGCTTGCTGTTTTCTCTTGCTGTCCTTGTTGCAGCCTGTCATTCAGGGAAGCTTTTGGGTCAAGTGTGTGTGCGTGTGTGTTTGTGGCATAGAAAGCTGCTCACTAACAGCCAAGAGAGAGAGCTAGAGAGAGAGAGAGAGAGAGAGAGAGAGGCAGGAGTAACGAGGAAGCGGATAGGAGGAGAGCAAGGAGGGAGGGGTGGATTGTGAGAGTGAGAGATCGAGCAGAAGAGAGTGTGAAGCTGCAGCAGCCGAGAGATAAAAGCTTTTCTCTCCCTCTGCCGGCGTCTGTGAGCAAGGGATAGAGCAGAAGAGTGAAGCCAGCCGAGGGAGAGACGAGTCCAGGCTGTCTGCTGTCACTGAAGCTCCCGGCTTCCCCCGATCAGCAGGCCTCAAACCACAAATGCACAGCAGGACAAGACACATTCGTGGACACGTATGCAGAAGGACTCACATAGCTGACCAGGGGACCGCCCAACCTCGCAGGCACAAACACACACTCATACTCTCTCCTGGACAGCCACACACTTGCTGTTTCTCTAGCCTCCACCGTATCAATCGGATCAATCCACCCATGCCTGTCTGACGGAGCCACGGTTTCCTTTTAGCCGGAGACGCCCTGTGTTCTCGTTTTTGCTCCCTGCATGTCTTTGTTATTTAAGGGGACGTGGAGTGCGGACCCTCTTGTCCTAACCTCTGCCGCTGTGCTGCGTGGAGTTCGGGACTGCCCTTCACTGGACACTGAATCCCTTTGGCTCTGTTCCAGATATACATCTGTACCTGAAGTAAGTCTGCTACTACAACTGGATCTTGACGAGACCTTAGCTAAGCCAACAAGGGACCAGCCTCTTCCTCCCTTCCTCCTCTTTTGCCTCAGAGTCCTGTTCTGGCTCCTACCCCAGATGTCTCTTCCTAATTAGATCTAGTGGACGTGAAGAGTTATTAGGAGACGAAAAGGCACCAGAGAGGAGAAACAGAACCAGAGCCTTTTTCCCCCCAGCCTGCTGTTTTTTTTTTTTTTTTATGTCTCTGAGTAAGACATGGACTAAATACTCCCCACCTCCTGCAAACTGTGGATTTTGTCGGGCTGTTGCATCGTCGCACTGCACCACCTGATGAAGGGGAAGCTTGCCTGAGTAACTGGCAGACAGCAGGACACGGGAGGTTTATGATTGGACTGTACTGGAACACAATTCCCAGCCAACTCTGGTCCTCAGGGAATCTGACATCGAGGTGGGGGGAATCTTTAGACTGGTATCCAGGGAAGAGGCATGTGATGCTAAGCTGTCTGGAGAGCTTAAGGTGGAGTCTGTCTGCGTTTAGCTGCCTCCAGATTTAGACCAGCACCCTTCTAAGGCACACAGCAGCATTTTTTTGTGTTTTCTGGACTACAGCAAGTTGATTCCACAGGTATCTGTCTGCCCTAGATGATCATTGTAAAGACTTAACTTTTCTGCCAATCTCGTCAATGGGAGAAATTCACGCCAGCGATTTTGGATTCCAACATATTGACAACAACATTCCCTTAAGAGGAGGAACACACACAAACTGAAAGGATTGACACATCACATGAGACTCCAGCTCAATGAGCAGGATAAATCGTGGGAGGATGACAAGGAGAAGCATTGGGGTGGGATGCCGATGCTCTGATTGAGTATTTAACAAGCTGTCAGAGTATTGGCTGAGTCTCCCAACAATCTGTGGCAGCATTGGCTGACTGCACACTATCTCTCACCCACAACCAATCCGGAAACCGTGCTGCCTCGGCAGAATGAGACACCGAGCTCACCGTTACTACAGGGGATATTGACAGCATCACTGTTAATACTACTTCCACTACAAGTACCGTGCCAGATAGGATTTCTACCGAACTCTGTTGTGTGGCTGACTTGCGTTACGGATCTTTCTTCTTTCCTCTTGCACTGCAATAACATTACCACAGTAGGAGAGAGGCATCATTAATTCATGACCTCAGATAGATGCCAGATCTCAGTGTAGATAGAGCTCTTGGATTACAGCGGCACCTGGAACGATTAACAAATCTTAACCTTGCTTTGTTTGTGGTTTATCGAGGATGGGAGGAAGAATCTGAATGGAATTGCAGCAGACTATGGTCATGTTTTTTCCCCACACTGAGTAGCAGTCACCTCTCATATTGGTAGGAATTATGACATTGAATAAAGAACTGAGATATGACTGCTACTGATTCCACACTCCCAGAAATCCTGCAGTATATACACACTCAGTCACATACAGTCACATGCAGTGTGTGTGTGTGAAACGGCTGGAGCTTCACTAATGGGCTGAATAGCACTGGACTGCACTACATTTTTCTCTCTCCTACACTCATCCTGTATGACACATTGCCTTACACCAGGTAACGGCTCATGTGCCAAAAGCCCGGTGATAAATCAGACGCCTGACCCTAAACACGTTTTTTTTACTCCATCATGGGGCTCAGCTGACATAACTGTGTCCTTGTGTCCTTGACTTCGACCACATGTCTTCTGGGATCGAGAAAGAAGACCAAGTAAAGCATCCAGCTGCCAGCACATATACACTGTTAATCAGCAGGGCCCTTAGAGAGAGCACGGGTGGCCAGCGCACTGCCTAAACCCAAGTCAGGTGAGGTGAAGGAAAGAGGGAGGACAGGAGGGACCTGTGATACGTCAGCCGGCTGCTGCCTGCCTCGTGACTGAACCAATAACTGCCTGAGGAGAAGACTGACTTTCCCTCTCTCTCCTTTGGTGACAGCTCATACAATCCATCTTTCTATTCACCGGATTGTATTTAAGATGGTGCCATGGAAAATGGAGTTAAACCTGCTCTTCCTAACTTCACATTACTCACAGTGTCAGATTAATGAGGGAGCTGTCAGTCACTTGCCAGCCTATCTGAACATTTCCTCTCTAGTGTCTCTCTTTTTGGGGAGCATAGGATTGTTCTGAGATAACTGCAATAAAAATTCAAACCTTAATGAACATTCATTTGGCATCTCGGATGGATTAACTGTATTTACTGTGGTTACTTTTTTATATACTGTTATCTGTCAACATCAAAGACATGGGGAACTCCATGGGTTGTGTCAGGCCTCCTCAGGAGGGGGAACTCGGTGGAGCCCCCCCACTTTCACCAAAGAAGCGTCTCCGTTTCAGACGTAAGCACAAGGGCAAGAAGAACAGGAAAGGAGAGTTAGAACAGGAGGACTTTGAGCAACAAAGAAGCCATGAACCTGATGAAAGAGAGGAAGAGGATGAAGACGACGAGGAAAAGGCTGCAGTTATTGAAACAGCAGACTCAGATTTTAGCAACAGAGCTAGGACTCTTACAACAGTGCCTGATACCCAGTTGATTCATTCCAAAACTAATCTGCACAGCAATACTCTTTCCCCTGGCTCTGTGAGTGCCAATGTAGGGGGCCTTTTGGGCAGCAGGATACTTGAAGTGTCCCCGAAGCCCAGCCCTGCCTGGAAAGGAGTTTTCTGCCTTCCAGGGGAGGAAGACACTGTTAGTGCCATCATAGATGTCTCCAGCATCCCAAGCCAAACCACGACCACCACCCCAGTCAACACAGCCCCAGCCCTTGGCAGTACCACTCCAGGTGGAGGGAGAGTCTGTCGTGTTAGGGAGAAAGTCCAAGGGGTCCTAGAGAAACCTTGGATACTACGACAGAAGAAGGAGAAAAAAGACAAGGGGAGGGCAGAGAGAGAGGAAAGGGGGGATGCGGGGATTAAAGGTGGACCAGAAGGAACATTAGGGGTAGTACGAACACCTTCGGGGAGGGAGCGCAAAGGTGTCGTCCATATTCGTGAGGTGGATGGTAAACTCTGTGTGGTGAGGACAGTGTACCCCAGTGATTTTGGCTCTCCAGTGTGGAGGGGCGAAAGTGACAGTGAGGTAGAGGTGTACAAAGAGCCCCATGCCCCATCTCCTGTCACAGGAAATATTCTCAAAGTCCAACTGTCTGAGGAGGACAAAAGTAGAGCCAAAAGTTCTGCAGAGGATTCCCCCATGTCCTCAAACCAAATGCGGATTCAGGAGACTATGGTTATCAAGGGATTTAGCTTGGACACTCCAGGTCGTGCACAGGAGCAGTCTTCTCTGTTGGAGTCAGGCTACGCCAGCGACTTGCCAATGACCTCACCAGAAACAGCGGGCACCACTCCCAGTCAAACAGACTGGGGCGGTCTTACCAGTAGCTCCTCAGAGAGACTGGACTCCATGATGGAGAGTCCCATGTCACTGCAGCAACAGGCGACTGTAAAATTCCTACCACAGGTTTGCCTCTATCTACCTTTACCTCTTGTAATCCACACATCAAATCCATTAGCCAACTCTCTTGGAGCTTTATATTCATCTCTGTCTTGAGTGTTATTCATTGATTAATCCAGAGGATCCCAGTAGGGAAGTTAAATGTGAAAGGTCAGTTTTTAGGAGTCCAGATAGATTCAGATGTAGACACCGACCACAGTGAAATAAAGGAATGTTTTTGTTAACAAGAAAATAGCGATGAAAATTGAAATAAGTTATTAATCAACTTAACCATTTGGGTTATTTGAAGTAAATGTCTCTTTAGTGACATTAGACTCTGCATTTAGCTGTGCAACCTGTTAAATGTGGAGGTCTGCTGATCCCATTTTTCAAACCAGTGGTCTGTAGTGCTACGGAGAGGCATTTACGACTCTTGATTTGTATGAGAGTGGGTTTTTGAAAGGTGCCTTTGTTGTCATTTGTGCACCGTATTTGTGGTCATGAAGGGTTATATATGCATGTGTGTCTGTGTATGTGTGTTATCAGCTCACAAAGCACTGTGCCTCTCCATTCTTTCCGACTCTGTCCCCAGAGCCTAATCAACGCACCACAGACCGTCTCTCCATCCGTCTTTCCCAGTATACTTATTCCCTCCCTTCCTTTCTTCTCCTTGGTCTCCTTCCATTGCTTGTTATTTTCCTCACACCACACATAGTCTGTCACTCCTGACGTCTGTTAGAGTGTGGGAGACATACAGACCGGGTGTTTTTGTGTGTGAGAGAGAAGGGTCATTGCTTCAAATGACAGGGTGCCCTCTTGCTCCAAACTGAAACTTGTCATTTTCTACCAATTCAATAGCACACAATATAATTATGTGCATCTGCCTGTGTCTGTCTAGCCCTGATGGTTTTGGTTGACAAGGGTTAAGGTTGCTCGGGGAAAGAAGAGAGGTGAAATCGGTTCATATTGTGTTGGTGATTTACATTGTAGTCTTTTTACATTACATTGGACAGTTTGTGTCTCCAGCATATTCTAGACAGTTTGCTGCCTTGTCACAGGTGGCCTGCTAGTAGGGCTGGATATTGGTTTACAGTTTTAGGTACAAGTGCTGATACGATACCTGAGTACTAGATTATAAAAGACCTTATTAACAAAACTTGTTAAATGTACGACTAATTTAATCCCAGCTTTTGGTTATTGATACAGTGCTACAGACTCATTTTGGAAGGTACTAGAACAGTATTGAAGTTACTAGCTCTACCTGCAAGGACATTACTTCACTTGTCTAAAGGAAATCTTTAAACCCCTTTTTGTATTGTTAAGAAGCAGCTGTGGTGCAGTTCCTCGGTACCAGGTTAGTTTTAAAAGAAATTGGAATTTTTTTTCTTTTTGTTCTTCCTCTCTGTTTGCTTCAATTTACAACAATTAAGGAATATGGTCGATAATGCAGTTCACCCACATAATGTGTTGTTTTGAGTGAAGGGCATGACTCAGTTTCACTTCATGACTGGACAATCTGAGCTCAGTGTCTTTCAATGCATACATTCACATCTGTGTAGACCTCAGCTTATAAGTTGAGCCCCATGTTTCTTTGTACAGCATATGTTTATATTTGGGTTGCAAAACCTGTTTCCGAGAGAGAGACTTTCTGTGCTAGCTTACAGCAATTCAGCCCTCCTTCACCTTGAAAATGAAAAGCCTGCTGCAGCCACTGCAGCGATACAGCAGATGAACTGGCACTTTTCACGACGGCTGCCACAGTTTGTTCAGTTCTCCTCCACATTATAAAGGCAGTACAGTATGCCTGTGCAGTACAGCAGCTCACGTCATGTCAGCTTGTGTGCACAGTTGCTGAGTCATGAGAAACATACACGTAAACACTGATACTGTAGATCCACAGAGATACCTGCTTAAGAGGGGTTTTTGCTGGGAAGCAATAATCAATACTCCTGTCGTGTGTGTGTGTGTGTGTGTGTGTGTGTGTGTGTGTGTGTGTGTGTGTGTGTGTGTGTGTGTGTGTGTGTGTGTGTGTGTGTGTGTGTGTGTGTGTGTGTGTTTGTCATGAGAGTCATGAGAGTATGGCTCAGGATGCCTCTGTGTTCAGTCTAAAGTGCAGCTGTCTTTTGTATGTGGGTTTGTGTGACGCCCTTCTCTGCATAAAAAGGGATTTGAAATGCGCATTCATCAGTGAGACGGCTGCTTTGTCGAGCCTCGAGGGGATTCCAACCACACATTAAAATCATATACCCGTCCTGCTGTGTCTGAAGCTATCCAGCTATCCATCCATCAACTGTCTGTCTGTCCTTCGTCCATCCATCCATCCATCCATCCTTTTTTGCTTAAGTAGTTCAAGCCAGAGCTTTACAGAGGTGCTTCTTGTTCAAGTGCCAATAAAGATATGTTTTCTTCTTTTATCTCCTCTTCCTGTCCACCCTCCATTCTCCCATCATTGTTATCTCCTCACTCCATCCCTAGCTCCCCCTCCTCTCCCACCAAACTTCAAAGAGACCATGTTTCTAAAAGAGGGCTGGTCCAGAGCCCCAGGGGGATCATAGATGTTTCTGACTAGATCATGGCTGCACTGAATGCTGCTGCCTCCACCTGCTCTTCAGATCTGTGTGTTTCTGTTTGCAAACTTGTATGTTTATCTGTGTGACTCTCAGGGCTGAGTCCGACATGCACATACACATCTACAGTATAGTTACACATCACATGTAAATATATACAGTACAACTGTCTTACAGCAGGACTTCAAACATGCACACACTGATATGTACAGTATACTATGTACTGATGCCCGTCTTGGAGAGGCATGTAAAGTCCAACATGTCATGTGACCAGTGCTATTTTTGTTTGTGTAGCCTATACTTGTAAACTGTAAACTATACTTGGTGGAAATTAGTATGTATCATGTTCACATGTACAGTATGAGTGCATTGTCTTCTTGTCTGAATGGCTGCCTCCACTGAGTTTGATGTCTGCAAAAATGCATGTGGATGTTTACCATCATTCATTCATTCATCGAGGCAGGAAGTCTAATTGTGCCACAAATCGTATTATCTGGACACCATTATTAATGTCAAATGGAGAAGAATAAGAAAGGCACTTTTAACACATCTGTTGTGTTGTGTTGTACAAGTAAAAGTAAACAGTCTCATAAGATAGAGCTGACGGGTTAGGTTACTCGGACAGGTGGCTCTCTCGTCATTAGCTCCGAAGCTACAAGTTAGAGCTTCAGAGGAGTCAGTTCAGTTCATTAAACAGTTGGTTTTTGGCTTTGTTTGCTAGCTGAGCCCCCGGGAGGCTAATTTAACAAAGCAGCTGATGTTAAGTTGACATGCTGTAATGGCTGCGCAGGGTGTCGGCTTCGCAAAATGTTTAAACTACTGTGCCATTAGGATGTGTGTTACTTGTGTGTGATGTTTCGTAACAAGCCAGTCGTAACCAAACAATATGGTTTTCTAGTTAATGTTCTATAACAGCTTATGAAGTACATTTGGAAACAGATCCGTGCTCTCTCGCTCGCTGCAGCTTCATTCTTTGAAGAACGCAGTGAGATACAGTCAAAAGTTGCTGAAAAAGCTAGTGAACCTTGAGTTAAGATTATTTTATCACCGCTCTATTGCTGACAGAAGCGCTTGAAAACCATTTATATAAATACATATTATGAATAAACCAATGGCAGGCATGCACAACAGTAAGTAGTGGATGAGATACTGTTGTGGTGGTGGGAGTGTAGGCTCTCTGTGCAGATGCAGCCCTCACACAGAGAGCTGTATCAATATTCAGATGGAGGATTAGATGCTCTGTATTTCTCTGCAAAGGAGGTTGTGGATGCATACAGAGAGACCGAGGTCTGCAGGAAAACACACAGAAGAATCCACATTTGTTGTTTCCCATTCAAGTCACAAATTCCATTATGTATCTTTATTTGTGATGATATGTATACTCAACGAGACGCTGATAGAAATACTAACCTGCTGGTTATATTACACACTTCTTGGTGGATGATGTATGGATGTTGGCGTGTTGTATTTAGACGAGTGTCTGGGGTTACTGTTGGCATGTTAATAGTATGACAGCATACTGGTAGTTCTGACTGCAGTGTGTTTTATTTTGGGTGTCCTTGTATAAAGTTTTAAACTTTGTGTTTCTGCATGTATGTATATATGTATAGCTTTTCTTTAATTTAACACACAATAGTACATTATGTGAAACTGGTATCTATATGCAGTATGCTGTTGCCACTCACCCCCTCTCCTCTGTTGCTGGCCTTGCTACTCTTTCTCATATCTTTTCCCTTCTCTCTCTTCTCCCTCCCCCCTCCCTGTCTTTTTGGCTGTTGCTGCAGTCTCCTGGCACTCACTGGACTTTCATACTACTCTATATATTAACAGCAGGGACAGAAAGACAGAAAGAGAGGGAGGAGTGTTGGTCAATGAGTGAGGGACGAAGGGATGACAGAAGAATACTAATGACAATAACAACAGCCAAGCACAGACAGTTACTGCATATACATCACTCTGCCTTTGTCCCTGTGGACGGTTTGAGAGGAAGCAGGACGCTGAGGGAAAATGGCGAAAGTGGTCCTGTAGCTCAGTGGGTAGACCCCATAGATAAAGTAGCGGTCAGTCTCCATGGAAGCTTCACTTCAAGACTTTAGTTAACATGGACTGTATGTCCTTAAAGTACTCTCAGGAGCATGCACCAAAATGCAAACCCTACTCTTAAAATCTGATTGATATTTTAAAATAAAAACTAGTTGTGGCGCTTTTTAAAGGCTAGCAGCCGTTCCAAGTTCTCCGGCTGAGAAAATAACACAGTTTACCTTGGGTAAAGGGGAAGGGAAAATTATGTGAGGAAGAGGATTGAATGTAGAAGAGGCAGAGGATGAGAAGGCTGAGCAGATTGATCAGCATCTGAGGCAGAACAGATGAAAGAACACGAAAAACTGAAGAGACAGATCGAGGTTGGGGAGTGGTGGGGGGGGCACGAGACAGAAGGAGATAAAGGAGAGGAGTTGAAATGTTGGGTGGGGTTGGGGCATGAGCTAATGAGCAGTGCTACGACATAAATGATGGATTGAGGAAATTGGAAAAAAACTGTTACATTATTATAGAAGTGCACACCAAAGCCATTCACATATTCGTTCTCTCTCTCTCACACACACACACACACACACACACACACACACACACACACACACACACACCGAGGGTTATTGATTATCAGGAAGAAGAATGAGGGGTTCGAAGGGAGATGACAGCTTAAATCAAAGTGACTAAAACCTTTCCAGTGAGTTTGTCTCATACAGCCAGAGCAGTGTGTTGTTTCTGCCGACTCATTGTGGCTGTGGTTCTGTAATGGGGACGTTATGTGAGATTAAAGCTCATTTTGTCGACTGTATGTTGCCATGATGAGACTGCTGTGGAGATGCCTTAAGATAGAACATAATAATAAATGATTGAAACGTGAAATGTGCCGAATTCCTATGATTTTTTATTTAATACAAATTTACATGATTGATGGATTCTGCAAAGTAGACTCAGGGTTGTGGCTCAGTTTGTTTCAGTGCATTTGGCAGCACCGTTCGAAGGAGAATTACTGTTACAAGATTTCTGATCACATCCCCCAATATTAACCCAAACTCTGTCTCTCTCTCCCGGTTTCTCTCCAGATTTCAGAGATCTATGTGAGTGGCGAGTCAGGCGACCTCACTGCCAAAGAGAAGCTGTTATTATGGAGCCAGCAGGCGACAGAAGGCTACCCCGGCCTCCGCTGTGTCAACTTCACCTCGTCCTGGAGCGACGGACGCATGTTCAACGCTCTGCTGCACAGATACAGGTTAGAGGATGAACAAGCAAGTCACCTGTTTTTAGTAGTTTAGTCAGATACCAGCATTCCCATTAACAATTTAGGTGTTTTTAGTCAATAAGCATTTAACCCCTGCTCAAATGCATTTGCAGTTGGCTGATAAATAACTACTCAGAAAAAGATGCTTCAACAAAATTGTGATTCAGGAGAATTTAATACCTTTTAAAACATGTATTTCAGACAACACAGTGTTTAGACAATTCATTTTAAACTGCTTGAATTCACCAAAACACATAAAAGGTCAAGGATATTCATTCAATACTTATTGAAGTCACTTTAGGCAGTTAAACACTACAGGCAACCAGAAATACTCGTGTTTAGCAGGCTGCTAAACAGATATGCCAGGTTAGAGGCAGGATAGACAGACACACACACGTGTAGAGTACACTAACACATCCCCTCTGTTTTTGATTTCCAGGCCAGACCTGATCGACATGGAGGTGGTGTCACGGCAGAGTAACCGGGAGAACCTCGAGCAGGCCTTCGAAATCGCTGAGTCGTTAGGGGTGACCAGACTGCTGGACGCTGAGGGTGAGGCTGTTAATCTGAATGAATTAATTGACCAACTGACCCCCCCTCCCCCCGCCTGTCCGTTCAGGGTAGAACGGAGGTTGACTTTCTGGCCGTTTACAGTCTAAAATACTTTGTATGCATTGTAATCACTGAGCTTTGCCTAATTAGCTCGTGTCCAGGGATTCTTAATAAACGGTGTAAACAACAGAAAAAGTCAACGACTACATATTATATATGCTACTCATGCAGGTTTTCTGTCTTGTTTGTTTGCAGCATTTATTTTGGAAGTCCGCCAACATTAGAACATGCCAGCCAGCCCTAATGATTGAATGAATGACAGTAAATACTGTCTTTTTTAGCTGTGTTCTCCCTATATTCTGCCTTTCTGTAGATACTCTCTTTATGGCTCTATATTTTACAAAAGGCCTTAAAATCCAGTCAGCACTGCCAATTATTTCAGGAACAGGTACATTTTGACTGGTGTTGTCCTCTTGAGTCATCTGAGTTTGTCAGTTGGAAGTGGGTGGGATACTGCTGAATGTTTGATGTTTCCCCTCAGGTATTGAGTATTGTTGTGCGTTCCCTCTGTTGCTACGAAGTCATTGATGCTACATCCAGCCAGCAGCTTGCTCAAACTGGCCCAACAAACATAACTGGATACTTTTGTTTTTGGTGGTTTGAATGTTGAGTTGATGTCTCATCTGTACATTTATCATTTTAACAGCCAGTGATTCTCTTAATTCTCTTAATGGTCTAATTCTCTGGAACTGTTGCCTTTTATTTGTGTTGTAAACAAACATGTTTGTAGCACACAAGATGCAGAGCCTGGCTAGTTTTTGATATCTTAATATTTTATGGTTACACCTATTTTCTAGTTGTTAGGGTTTGACATTGTGTCCATTAAATTAAGTTTAATTCAAAGAATAAGTTTTTTGTTAACCTTAAAATTCCAATGTCATGATTTCTTCTAACAGATAATGTGATAAACATCAATCTTTCTGCATGTTATTTGCAGTTTTTAAGGCTTATTTGTCTAATGTTCTGCCTTTCTCTTTCCCTTCAGACGTCGATGTTCCATCTCCAGATGAGAAGTCGGTCATCACCTATGTCTCATCCATCTATGATGCCTTCCCTAAAATCCCTGAGGGAGGAGAGGGCATCACTGCAAACGTACGTCACATTCTGCTCCATCCATTTACACCACTTTTATTGTGCGACCATTTATATGTTTGAGCTTAGTATAGATGGGTATTGTGCCTTCTTCTTCTGTTTTTAACTGCATTCCTTCACCTTACATGCATTCCCATTAAATTAAATTATTATTCATATTACACTTCAAACTTCAGTTGTCTTTGTTGCTCCATTTCATGTAGAAATGTGTAATTATCATTTTGTTTGCTACTCAAGGATGCAACTTCCTGAGTAATGACCCGGAACTTTCAAGTAATTATGCAATTAATTTAATAGTGCTGTTGCTCTCTTCCTCTATCCCCTCCTTGTTTTCTCTCCTCCATCATCAGGAGGTGGACCAGCGCTGGTCAGAGTACCAGTCCAGGTTTTCCTCTCTGCTCCAGTGGAGCCGCCAGCATATGGCCCTCATGGCCAACAAGAACTTTCCACAAAACCCTGTGGAACTCAAGGTGAGCACCCAAAATTTGTCTAATATAGGTTTTATTTTATTTTAAGTCCTTTATGTTCATCACATGCATAAATTAATGTTGGAGAGAAGAGGAAGCTTTAGAGAAGACAATAATCTCCCTCTCTTTAGTGGGTTCAAAGGACCAATAACCCTCAAAACAGCAAGGATTTACCACTGATTGCCACAGATACATGCATTTGGTTGTGGTGGAAATCAAAGCCCTGTGTATTTTCTCAGCTCTTTGTCTTCAGTCCCACCAACATGCAGTCAGGAAGAACAGACAACTGACAAGCAATTTCTGTACAACCTTGACAGAACAAATAAAGGGACAGAGGGAAGGGGAGGGAGTGACAGGATTTAATGAAATGGACAATATCAGACAGAGGTGTAAGGTGAGCGAGAAGGAGTGAAGAATTAAAAGGAATGAATTTGCAGACGAGAGGCGTGAAGTTGAAAAAGGAAGAAAAACATAATGTGAAAAAGGTTGCTGCTGTGAGCAAAATAACGGGCAACACGACATCTAAAGACCTAGAGGAAAGAAGGAGGGAGGGAAAATGAATACACAGCTTGAGATGACAGTTGAGAAACTGGCTAATGACCACCCAGGGAGAGAGACCGTGATTACAAAGCTTTTACCTCTGATAACAGGTATTGACTTTGTGTTTGACCTTAAACGCAGTCGGTTCTAATATTGACCCCGCAGGGCTCATCGGTAACTTCTGTCTTTCTTCTCCTTCAGGCACTTTACAACGAGTACGTCCATTTCAAAGAGACGGAGATCCCTGCAAAGGAGATTGAGAAAGGTCACATTGAACATCTCTACAAACTGCTGGAGGTGAGAATGAGCGGAGAAGAACATGAATGAGGCTAAAAAAGAACAGTGTAGGGATGGAGGAAGAGGTGACCAACACTTGGCACCATGCGCAGAGCTCATTGTGCATCATGGGGTTCGGCTCAGGGGGATGAGGAGTATGTCAGTGTGAGAAAGAGAGAAAATCGGTGTGTTTGTGCGAGTTGAGTCATACATTTGTCTCCTGAAGCAAAGTCCTTTCCACCACTTTTGCTGTTATCAATGCAGCAGATTGTTTTGTTGAACACAAACACATGACGGTCGATAATAGGTCCTCTTTTATTCTCACTCAGCTGATGTTAACTGAGTGTTTGTCTGTGGTGTGACTTATGATCGCTCATAGATTTAAGTCTGACGTAATGGAGTTTGTTAGCGTTTAATGGTGTGTGCACTTCCACTGACTCATGATGGGATGATAAATATATACTCACTGTGTGCGTGTGCGTGTGCGTGTGTGTGTCCAGGTGTGGATAGAGTTCGGTCGTATCAAGCTTCCTCAGGGCCTCCATCCCAATGACCTCGAGGAGGAGTGGGGCAAACTCATCCTGGAGATGCTGGAGAGAGAAAAGGCTTTACGGCCGGCTGTGGAGAGGTACACACACACTGATACATGCACATGCACACAAATCCAAATATCTACTTTCAGCAGGATGTATGTAATTAAATCAAAAGTGCTGATGCATCTCCTTGTGTTCAATTTCTCATCAAGTGTGTTTGTCAGGGAGATGCCCCTTTAACCTCCGTGTGTGTGTGTGTGTGTGTGTGTGTGTGTGTGTGTGTGTGTGTGTGTGTGTGTGTGTGTGTGTGTGTGTGTGTGTGTGTTTTCAGGTTAGAACTACTGCTTCAGAGGGCCAATAAGATCCAGAACATGGCTCTGGACTGTGAGGAGAAACTCACCCTCGCTAAGAACACACTCCAGGCTGTGAGTACTGAACCTCTCTCATATCTTACTTCCTTTTAATTTCCTTAAACACACACACACACACCCACACACATGCAGGGTCCTGGGGTTTATGTTGGGTAAATGTTGGATAATTTGGCGTGGTAATTTACAATGTGTTAATGTGTGCAAGCTGTAAAAGCAAGTGCCCTTCTGGGACAATAAATATTCCCTCACCACTTTCCCCTGCTTTCTGCAAACACTGTCTCTTGTCTTTGTCTAGAGACAAACTTAAAAAACTGTTAATGGTCCAGTTCTTTCCTCTGTCATCTTTATCTTTTTGGGCTCTGTTGCCAATCATCTGACCTACTGCATGAATAAGAATCTTGTCAAAATCATTGATGTTCAACAGGTTTTTCAAGTTTTACTTTATCCACTATTATTTATACTGTCATGTGTCATGTAACCCTGATTTTCTTTATTATTATTTTTACTGGAGTAATCCTGCTGGTGTTTGCTGCTGCTTTTCTCATAAAATCGGTTTGGTTTCATTGTATTGTTTACTGAATCTGTGGCTGGGGAACACTAAACTGCAGAACAACATAGCTCATAAAAAAAGAAACCTTAACACATAAGCCAAGTAAGCTAATAAACAAAAAAGCAAAACCTCATCAAAACCGTGCCTCCTCTGGTGTCCAGGACATGTCTCGAGTGGAGAGCGGCGAGGCGGTGCAGTGTGAGAGAGAACTGGCCTGCTACCTGCAGGACTGCGAGTCTCTCATCAGACAGCTCAACCAGGAGCTTAAAGTCCTCCGAGAAGAGAAATACTACCAGGTGGAGCAGCTGGCGTTCAGGTGAGCGTGGAGCGAACGTTTTAGGGTGTTGACTTTGATTCTGTGGAGGTGAGGCTGGCTTGGTTTACCCAAATGAGGAATGAGTGAAAGGTCCAACTCAATCAAAGCTGTGATTAATTAGTATCATATAGACAATTACCATTACCAAATACCATACAAACAGCTCATTATACTTCATTATAGGTCAACAAGTTGCATCGTGTTTTGCCATTAAATCCCATAATTATCTGCTACAGTTAATGTGTTCTGTCTTCTGCTGCTTATAAAGTGTATAAAAATGCTCTGATGTATATCGGTGGTGTCAAAAAGTGATGAAAGAGAAACTCAATTTTGTGGCTCATCAGCATGCGACTCCATGAGTGCTGTTATGAAACAAAGAAATAGCCATTTTGAAAAACTGCCATTTCCTTTTAGCATTTTGTGAACAAACCTCACAGAAAACTCTTTCTCTCTCTCTCTGCTCTTCTCTTCTCACATAATTTAACCATTGAAGGCAGTTGTTTCTAATGCATTCCTGGCTTAACATTAGGAGACTTTGAGAGAGGGTCAGATCTTTAAATGACTGTACCTATTTGGGGAAATCAACTCAAGTCTCCCCTCCAGTAATCAAATATTTTGGTCTCACATCACCAGAGTGTCTTGCCTTCAAGAGGAGCTGGTCTCCCTCAGACTGCAGTGCTCCAGCGTCTACAGGAAAGGCCACTTCACCCAGGCCCTGGGCAGCACTGTGGCAGAGCACACCAGCCAGAGAGCCACAGACAGTGGCCTGTCACTGGGGCAGACACTGCTGGGAGCTGTGGGCGCAATGGGAGCTGTCGGTGCCGCACTCCTGCGGCGACCAATGGCCCGCTCCCAGCTAGTGGCCATGTCCTCATCAGAGGACGAAGGGAGCCTGAGGTTCATCTACGAGCTGCTCGGATGGGTGGAGGAGACACAGGTCAGTCTTTATAACGCTGAAACTTAGAGACACAACAATTCTTTTAATTATCAATTAATCTGCTGATTATTTGCTTCAATATTTAATGAATCATTTAGCCTGTGAAATGTCTGGTAATACTGGAAAGAATGGCCATTAAAATGTATCAAATGTTTCTCAAATTTCTTTCTTTTCTTTTTCCAATTTTTTTTGACCAACCATATAAAAAAACAACAAATCCTCACGTATGAGAATCTTTTTGTTTTTCTTTGCTTTTGCTCCGTACCTTAGACAAAGTTTTAGAAGATGTGTGTATGTCATGAAGTGGATCTTAGATCCTGTACAAAAGGCTGTAAAACAAGAAAAGAAACATTGTGGTAAAGTCTTGCTTCAAGGGATTAAATTGCACTAATGTTACTGAAACATAATTTAAAAAATCTAAACTACCATCAAAAGGCTTTTGAAACCTGAAAAAATGCATTTAAGTGAAACTGAGGACTAAGTCCTTAAAAAGAAGAATAAGAGCAGGAACTAAAAAAAGACAATAAATTGTTTTCATGGGGATAAAATATTAAATATTTTTTATTTGTTGAGAGCCGTGTTGATTTTAATCATCCTGATGTTCCTCTGTGTTTCAGGAGCTCTTGGAGCGTGCTGAATGGGGTGCAGACCTTCCCTCTGTAGAAAACAACCTCCAAGAGCACAACATCATACACACTGCAGTCGAAGAGCTAATTAACAGCCTACAGGAGGCACGCAGCTATGAGGTACACACACACACACACACACTCACACGTCACTCATACATAAACACAGAGATCTTTCTGCAGAGAGTTTTGGTTTGTAACAAAGAATGTCTTCCTCAGGCTAAAGTTTCTACCAACTTCAAGAGCAATTACTCTGAAACCCTGGCCAAGCTGGAGCACCAATACTGCAAACTAGTGGTCAGTCTCAGATAAAGAACTGAGGTTTTGTGTGTGTGTGGAAGTGTACACTTCTTTGTTTCTCAGTTCACCCCCTTCATCAGTTAATCTCATTAAACCATGACAGGACCCCAATGCTAAGAACACACAATTATGCATCTGCTCTCTTTGTACTCCTTTCCCCAAATCCCCCCCTTTCTCTCTTTTTATTTCTTTGTCCCCTCTTGCTTCTGTTCTTGTCTCTTAATATATTTTCTGTTTTACATCATTAATTCCTAACACTGTTTGTATGCACACTTTTTAGTTAGTATTCTTATATAAAATGGCCCTTTGTTTCTTCCTTCTTCTGATTGAATTCTAACTCTTGAAGCCTTCCATTCTCTTCATGTAACAGAGCAGCCTAAATGATAATATTATCCAGAGCATCCTTAGAAGTAGAGTAGAGTATAACTTCTGTACTCTACACTTCTAAACCACAAATGTACCAAAAAAGTATATGCTCAAGGATGCATACAGTATAACTATGCATTTAAGTAGAGACTTCTGTAATTTCCAGAACTGCAAGCAATATCATTTAACCATTTATCATGCTTTATTGTTTAGTCATTAAAAAAGAAAAAATAATTATATTCTTTAAGAGTTAAAAGACAATTTATGTTAGAGAATAATGCCTCTTAAAAAAAAAAGGAATTCTTCTTAAAAAAGCATATCAAAAAGGTTCAATATATGCCTATAATTCACATTCTTCTTTGCACTATTTGCTATTAGTCGCTTGCTTTGATGGGCTTGTAGGAAAGTTGTTGTGTTCACACTGCTTTATTCTGATTAACACTCTAACCCTAACCCTGTCCTAAAAAATCCCTGTAAGTGCACCAAAAGCCAACATGTATAATACAAACAACAAGAGAGCAGAGGATGTTTTTTTAAATTTCTCTCTGCACTGCTGATCTGCATGACGATGATGTTTGTGTGGTTGCCATAGGAACATTCGTCATGGCGCCTGCGGAGCTTGGAGAGCCTGCACGCATTTGTGTCGCACTGCACTGAGGAGCTGATCTGGCTCAACGAGAGGGAGGAGGAGGAGATTGCCTTCGACTGGAGCGACAACAACCCCAACATGAACGCCAAGAGAGAATTATACAGTGTGAGTGGAGGAAGAGGGCAAACGCATACACTGATGGTTTCCTCTGTCAAGTCAAAAAACACAAAGTATAGACAAAGCTAAGCAAAACAAGCTCCCTTGTATCACAACTCCAAATAGAAGTATTGTTTACATGCACAGAAACAGTATTTTTACATCAGGCCAGTAATCCTGTAATCTACCATTCTTCTTTTCCTGTTGTGTTTGCAGGAAATGAGGTTAGAGCTGGATGACAAACAAGAAGTGATGCGGTCGCTCCAGGAAACAGCCAACTGTCTGTGTCAGGAGAACCATCCAGCCAAACAGACTGTGGAGGTGAATCTATGACTTTATTCAGTTAGACTGAATGACCTTTTAAAGATGTTTTGCCTCTGTGACTCATTTGTAGGAACAGTTGAACCAAAATGCTCCTTTCTTTTTTTTTTCCTTGACTGTTCCCCTCAAGACATTTTGTTTTCATGCATTTTTAAAACCGTAAATTAGCTTGAAAAGGGCAGTAAGTAAACTCTGACCCTTTTTGGCGAACAGTACGAATTGCTAACTGTGTCCAATAGAAACATGGATTGAAACTTACTGTGTAATCATACTGATTTGGGATTTGCTTTTTCAACCTATTCTCTACCACTACATATTACTGCACAGTTGAAGAGAACAAAGTAGAAGAACAGAAGTTTCAGCAACTGCCTGGGAAAATAAAAAATCAAACATCCCCGTCAATGCCTTGTAGCTACCGTTGGAAGCTTGTACTGTAACTGCAGTGTGACAGAAACATTTGTGCTCTCTCTTCCTTCTGTCTCCGTCTCTGTACATGTTATCAGGCTTACAGTGCAGCTCTGCAAACTCAGTGGCAGTGGGTGAACCAGCTCTGTGTGTGTGTAGAGCAACATCTGAAAGATAACACGGCATACTTCCAGGTGAGGCACAAATATCATTATAGTTTTCCCCGCGAGCAGAAAACTGAGAATATTGAAGAAAATAAATGAATCTGAAGAATCTTCCAGATACAGCTTTGTTTTTATTACAATTTCACAGTATTTCTCACCACATCCACATGATGACCTCTGAGCAAGAAGTTTCTTAAATATCCTTCTTGTCTCTTTATAATGGAAACTAATATGTTTACTTGCCTCATAGCTCCAGGTCTCTGGCTGCAAACACATGTCGCCCATTAGACGTTCTCAAAACATCCTAATGTTCTCCATCCATTTCTCTCTCTCTTGTCAGTTTATGAGTGATGCCCGGGACTGTGAGTCGTACCTACGCCAGCTCCAGGAAACCATTAAGAGACAGTACACCTGTGACAAGAACAGCAGACTGAGCAAACTGGAAGACCTGCTGCAGGACTCAATGGTATCTGTCCCCCTTCAGTTGCCATTCTCAGCTTTTATCTCCACTTACACAGGACAGCTTTATGGGGAACACTCGCCTAAAACAAAATGACCCATTTGTGTGTACTCCATATTTCATATACAGCATTTTATAATTCTCTTATCCCTCAGATGTTTGATCTGAGCTGTGTTTCACATGCAGTAAATGAAGGCACTGAATTTTTTGACCACCTTTATTTCAGTACAGTCAATCCAGGAAAGGTCTTTCCTTCCAAAATAAAAGGAGCAAAACTTACTCTGTATTCTTGAATACTTCTACCTGAACCCTTGATAGATAGGGATAATATTCGTATCCCAGCTCACTGTGTTCCTTTTGGTTTAGAACCCCTGCTGCCACCTTGTGTGCACAGAGCAAACCTATACATGACACATGAAGAATAATCCTGGACAGAGGCTTTAGCAGGAATGATATAAACATATTATTTTAGGTATTTCATAGGACAGGAGCAACAGAGAGCTACAGAGAGCTACAGTAGCTGAAGTGATAGCATACCAGCATCCTCCTCATTGTTGTGCTCTGCTTCAGGCAGCTGCAGCACGCCACATGACAGGATGAAGTAATCTGTTAGAGTAGATTCGCTGAATCATCCCTCCTGTGGCACATTTGTGAGACTGCCATCTTCACACCTACCTTACACACACACACACAGACACACACACACAGACACACCTCTGACTTCAAGCAGATGGCAGCGTTAATGTGGGCAACGCTCCACAGGCCAGAGCACTGAGCATATCCTCTCAATAAAGAGGTGTGTTCATTTGTCACAAACAGCAGTTCCTTTCACATCAGTGTGCAGTCAGCTTTGTCACATACAGTATGTGGTTATATTCACATGTTCTCTGACCTTGTTTACATCTATGTGTGTGTTTGTCCGCCTCTTTGTGCATGTGTGTTAATCAGTTTCCAGCACCAGTCAATAAAGTTTCCAGTTTCCTGTGCTCCCAGCTCTCACTGGGAGGAGGACTGTGATACTGTAGAATGCAAACAGCGGAACCTTTTGTTTGAATCTCATAATAACTGAGGAGAGGATATTAACTCAGTCTTTTCACCCTCTGTTAGGCAGGGATTAGAGCTTCAGGAGCGGCTGTTTGATCAAACCTTGCCCTCTCTTTTGGGTTATTTCGTTGTCTGTGTTGTTTGTGGTTAGATTGCATAAGCACTTGCTGACTGATGGTTGACAAAATACATTTTTGTAATTTGGAACAAAATGTAATAATCGGGTCATCAATCTCAAAGTGACTCAGCATTTCATTGGCCAGACTCTTTATCCAAGATATGTTTAATTATTATTTTTAATTTCATTAAAGCAATGCCTCTGATAATTGAATTATTCTTTAAGTGATGGTTGTTGATCTTGTGTATAAATTATGTTTCTTCCCATCCTCCCAGCTTGTCATTTGTCTTGCTATAGTAACGCTGACTGCAGCGAACGCCATCTCAGTGTGAAATTCATTTCAGGGGTGTAATGTATAAAGTTATTTTAGCAGCGCCCCTCACACACCCACACCCCCCCCAGCTTTTCTCTCTCTAACTGACTCCTGCTCGCCCTCAGTTCATCTCTGTCGTTCTGTAGCTCTCTCCCTACTGTCTCTCTGTTTGTGTCTCTCTATAATGCATCCTTAATGACTCCCCCTGCTGGGGGCGAGACAGGAATTAAATGTAATTCTACCTGTCAGGGTGAGGAGCGCAGCTTTAAATGTTTAATGGTTAGCTAACACAAGCACCTGAGTCCACTCATCTCAGGGGCTATTGGCTAATAGGCTAATTGTAATGTGTGGGACCTGTCATTGTAAACATGTTGGAGTGCTAACATTAGCATTAAGCTCAAAGCACCACTGTGACAGCCTCACAGAGTCACTGGCACGGCTGTAGACTCTTAGTCTTTTTTAGTCTCTACGATATACAGTTGGCAGTGCAGGAAACTAGCTTTAGCATCCAGTCTTTCTCTCTCCCCTGGCTTTCGTTCTGTTTGTTCTTCTTGAATTTAGTTTGTCTTTAGCTTCATTTCTCTTTTAGTTATGTAAAATAAACCCATTTTTCATTATAATTCATGTGTGTTGTCCCCTTCTTTGTCCAGCCTTGAGCGATGTTGTGATCATTTATCTTTACAATTCTTTCTAAACCAGTGACTCACACCCTGATGAATTAAACCAATGCTGACACAGATAACTGACTGAAATGATGGACTATTAAACCGATGAAAAGGGCTGATAAAATGAATCGTTGTAACTGTGTTGGCTGTGTGAATGTCTAATGACTTCCTCTGTCCTGCAGGAGGAGAAGGAGCAGCTGATTGAGTACCGGAGTACGTTGGCGAGCCTGGTGGGCCGGGCCAAGATGGTGGTGCAGCTCCGCCCCCGCAGCGCAGAGACCACCCTGGGAACCACAACTCCCATCAAAGCCATCTGCGACTACAGACAGATAGAGGTATGAAGCCCACCATATGCGATACTGAACATGAACATGCTGTTGTTGCTGGTGTTTTCTTTCTCTCAGGAAGTTACTGTAAGTTTCTGATACTGAAAACCGCCATCTGTTAATCTAGTTGAGCTAAAATAAGCCAGTTATATAGGGAATCCTTTGACTATCAGGACAAGGTTGTGACAAAATGTGTATTTATGCAGTACCGGCTCAACACTGACCTCACCACTCTTATTGTTTTAACCCTCACCACCAACCGCCTCCTCTCTGCCCTGCACTCCCTCTCCAAGCCCCTTCGCTGTGAAAGGGTTTTTTTTTGTTTTTAGATTGATGAATACGTCTACACAAACTCTTTTTTTCATCCTAGGTGGTCCATATTGATGAATAGACTACAGCAGTGGAATTTTTTTTTTGGTAACTGCTCTAACTGTTTTCGCTTCATTTTAATTGGCAAGTACAAATAGCAGCATTCAGTTTGGAAGCTGAATGAAGCATAATGATTATGATCTCGAATTTATCATTGACACAGTTCTCACAATAGATTATCTTTGCCTTTGTTCTCCCCTTTAGAAAATTCTGTGGCTGGATCTTTGCAAAAGCTCCGAAACAGCCAAAAGTTGTGCATTGTTTTTTCCCCAGTGCCACTTTTATATAATATACATAGAAACAAGTAAAGTCTTTCTTTCTCTGCCATCTCTCTCTCTGTCTCTCTCTCTCTCTCTCTCTCAGCTGTGATGTCCTAAGGGAATCTAAAAGCCAATCAATTATACATCTGTCTCATCCCCTTTGCGGACTCAGTTGAAAACCGGCACCTAGCACTCCAGCAGTGTGGACGTGCTGCTGTCCCTTATGCTGCTATTTTTAGTTCGCTGTGTTAGATTCCTGAGGGTCAATTTGTTCATTGAAGCATACTGTATGTGAGGTGTTGTATCCAGGTAAAGAAGGAAGGTGGTTTGGTCATCTCTGATCTAAAAAAGGGGGAAAAAGGAAAGCAAGCTGCCGCAGAGCTGAAAGTTTTACTAAAACAAATCAGTGTGTGCAGATATTCACCAAACGTCTGGACAAACGTGCACATGACGAAAAGTAATCTTTCTCTCCTTCACTTTCCTGTGTCTCCTCCTTTCTCTCCATGTACCCTCATGTACCTTTTTTTGCTTCTCCCTTTTCACTCCCTCCTCCTCCTCCTCCTCCTCTTCTTTCTCCTCCTCATCCTCTTCCCTTCCTCTCGTCTGTCGGCTGGGCTGGCAAGACAAACGTTCAGGTATAGCTGCCTATATTCTCCCTCTCTCACCTCAGATTCTTACACTGCACACACTGCACTGCCCTGGTTGCTCCTCTCTTATCAGCTGATTTCAGGCTTTACTGTCAGTGATGTAAGATGTGGTCATGAGGTGTCTCGTATAAAATTTGTTAAACAGTAGATGTAGATTTTCATTCAATTTTGTCAACTAAGTAGAATGTTGTGTTGTATTTTTAACTTAACCAGTCAAACACAATACATCCAGTCTAAAGTAATCAGAATAAAAATCTTAATTGTAGCTAGATTTTTAAATATCAACCAGATTAATTAACCCTTGTGCTGTATGTGCACATGGCAACCTGTTGTGTCGTAATGGCACTAGATAGCAAGAAACTGAGGACAGAAATTTGAGGGTAGTAGTGACAAAAACACAACTAAAGTAGAAAACAGTAACTTGAAAATGTGGACGACCCGAAGACGATGAAACTGTTTTAAAGAAGTAGGCCTCTTTTCTCAATGAAGACAGTAAGATCATGAGACAAGACAGTGGACATTTAAGTAGGATGCAGCACATAAACACTGTTTAATCTCCGTGTGTCCACCATTTATTTAGTCTCTTGTTGTAGATCTGAATACTTTCATACTCTGCATACAAGAGGTAAAAGACGAGGATCACGTCACTTAATCGTTGATAAGGGCAGGTAGCAATCAGTGAGCTGAACTGAACTGAACTGAATGTAACACAGTCCATGTCTTCAGTCAGTCAGACAATAACAAGTCACAGCTTTAAAGCTTTAATTTACATTTCATGTATTTACTGTATGTGCCTAGCTTTGCATTATTGATGTATTAATGTGTGTGTGTGCAGGGAAGGGGTGAGAGAGGGTGGTGGGTCGGGGAGGCAGTACAGCAGTAGTCTTTTATGCGCAGCCCTTAAACTCTTCACCACAGTCACGGCTTTGCCTTATGTTTATTTTAGAACTGAATTTATTTTCCAGTTTCTAATCCCAAACTCTTTGTTTCGGTCCTGTGCTGGGTTTCTAAAAATCACCATGTCAGTAATGTGTTTCCTTGTTGATGAATTGCTGCTCAAGGTGAATTTGTGAAACCCTGCCCAGGTTATCAGTAAACCTCACTTTGGAGAATATTTGCTGCTTTCACAATAAAAGCTTTCTGTTTTGAGGTGCAAAGCAGCTTTCAGTCCACATGGCATCGTTCATGTGTCTAGGATTCTAATCTCATATCATTTTAGGGCTTTTTCTAACATCATGAAATTCATGAATGTTTGCATTTTGTGTTGCATTATGAGTTTGTTGCTATCAACTTTTGGTTTACATGTTTTCCCTTCTCTCCTTCCTGATTTCACCTCCCTCGCTTTCTTTCTCTTTTTCATCTGACCTCTCCTCCATCATCCTGTCTCTTTTCCTGTTTTTTCTTCTTCTTTTTGCCTCCATCCTGCATCCCTCCATCCTCTCAGATCACAATAACCCGAGGAGAGGAGTGTGTGCTGGAGGACAACTCTCAGAGGACCAAGTGGAAGGTGATCAGTCCGACAGGTAATGAGGCCATGGTCCCCTCTGTGTGTTTCACCATCCCACCTCCAAACCAGGAGGCCATCGACACAGCCAGCAGGTGAGACACACACTTGAAACATGGAGTTCAGTTAGTTTTGAAGTGAAAGTAAACCGTTTGTTGTGGGTAATGATGGGTGTAAAGTTGGTGATAAGGTGTGGATGTTTTTGAGGCGTTGGTTTCAGGGGACACTAGAAGATGAGTTCTCATTCTTGTACACTGTGGTTCATTCAACCTTTAAGAAGTCTAGAGGTTCTAGTCAAAGTGGTGTCATTTAGTCAACAAATGGCTTAAGATATAGGTAATTATTAGTATTACTGTATAATATGACTGGACTATCGCTGGATATTCACACTCATGTTCTGTGTTGTTCTATGTGTTTTTGTGTGTACAGGGCAGAGCAGTTGTACCAGAAGGTCATGTCTCTGTGGCATCAGCTGCATGTGAACATGAAGAGTGTGGTGTCCTGGCACTACCTGTTGAAAGACATCAGGACTGTCTCAGGATGGAACCTGGACACGGTGAGACTCAGAGTGTGTGTGTGTGTGTGTGTGTGTGTGTGTGTGTGTGTGTGTGTGTGTGTGTGTGTGTGTGTGTGTGTGTGTGTGTGTGTGTGTGTGTGTGTGTGCCCGCGTGCGTGTGTGCGTTCTTTTTGCTTCTTCTGTGCTTTGTCGTACTTACCTTCTCCCTCCGTGTGTCACGTGTCAGGTTCGTTGTCAGTCTCCGGCAGAGCGACAGCAGGTCCTGGGTCACCTGGAGTCCCAGTTGGCCGACTTCCTGTCTGACAGCAAAGAGAGCGCTCTGTTCACGCCAGGCGAAAGACGAGAGCTGGAGAAGGACGTTCAGCAGGCCCAGCAGCACTGCCAGGACTTGCTGCTCAACATGGAGACCGGTGAGACAGGATGGATGCTGGCTCTGTATTGAACTGCATCAACATCTCTGCAGTCCTAATCTGTTAATGAACATGTTCATGAGAACAAATGTGTATCAGTATTTTGGCCTGTAGGAATGGATGAAGCTCAGTATGCAGTAATACTTAAACAAAACATACCAGAGACAGTCACTGATCTTCATTGGATCAGCGCTGAACAATGAGCACTCAGTCGTATTTTTTTAAAATAAAACAGGCAAATGGCTGCAGTGTTACTGTTCATGCCCAAAATAACTCTTCTTTCTTCTCGTCTTTCTCTTTTGTCTCTCTCCAGTGGAGAAGGATGAGTCAGTCTCTCGATCGTACCTGTCTGAGTTGCAGAACATCACCCTCCATCTAAACGAGGCTGAGCAGAGACTGATGAGGGCAATTCAGACTCCGCCCCCCAGCCGGCTGTCAGCTGACAGTGCTGACAACGCTGTTCAGATTGCAGAGCAAGAGGTCAGTTTGAGCCCCACCTGCTGGTTGCAACTGGCAATAACAACAAGTTAATATTTAGTTTCATCAGTTAATGTTTATTTATGAACTAGAGAGTTTGCTTTCATACACTGTTGGATATATTAAGGGTGAAAAAAAAAACAATCATATCTTCTTAGAAAAATACAAAAATCGGAAGGTTAATATTGATCGATGTTATTTTTCTAATGATAATTATTTATCTGCCTCTATATGCATGATAGTTTTTCTTTACTCTACTTGGGGAAGTTTATCACAAAGGAAACTACGGCCTACTTCTGGTGCACTTTATCTCATTAGGTATTAATGAGATAAAGTGCAGAAGTAGACAATTTTCATTGACAGTAAATGAATCAAGGTGAAGGTTGAAGGTTAAAACAACTGGCAATATTTTATTTTTTATATGTTATATATCGGTAGACCATACCCCCTCATTTTCTCTCCATTTTTGCTTACCGCTTTCTTGAAATCTCATTCTTTGTCTAGAAGCTGCAGTCAGAACTGGACGCTCTGCGCTCCAATTTGGGTGATGTGTCTCGTCGCTGCGTCAGTTTCTTCGAGGAGAAGCCGACATCCTCCAGCGTTCCCGTCCTCCGGTCTGAACTCAGTCAGGCTGTGGAGAAGACGGACAAACTGCACAACCTCTCGTCTGTCTACTTAGAAAAGTTAGTGAGCTTTTTCTCCCTCTAGCATGTACAGAAAAATATATGAACATATCATTTACAAATTGTATGATTTATTTGACCTCTCTTTACCTCTTCCTTCCTCAGGTTAAAAACAGTAGACATCCTGATGCGTAGCCTGGATGAAGCTGAGAGCCAGGTCAGGAAGAACGAGAGCAGACTAAGTGAAGAAGACATTGTTCCTGTCGACACAACGGCCATTCAAAACCTCAGAGATCAGCTAGGGGTAAGGGACACATTCGCTGTACGGCCAGCTAAAGAGAAATGTTGTGAAACTATTTGACTCTAACAATTGTTCTGCATCCTTTGGTTTATCCCTTTCCAGAGGTGGCAGGCTGAGCTTGCCGAGCAGGAGGACATCTTCCAGTCTCTGCAGTCGGAAGTAGATCGAGCCAAAGAGGTGGGGTCTCAGCTCAGCAGGCTGCACCCAGACCGCAGCCCAGAGCTGGAGCGCTACCAGGAGAGAGCCAATCAGATTGCAGAGAGGTGGAGCGGAATCAAGAGACAGATGGAGACACGGTGAGCTGGACAGGATGAAGATGAGAAAAAATGAAAGGATTTGGGGGAAGAGTGAAGTAGTAGGAGTAAAAAGAATTAGGTTTGACAACATGTTTTGGCTCTGGTTACAGAACATGTAACGTTACTCACCCACTTTAAAACACTGCACATACTGGATGCTAAACTTAGGCTGTACTTATTATATTATTATAATAAATATTTTTGTGTGTTAAATGTTCTGAAAGTCTTTTCTTCTTTTATTACAGACGGACTGATCTAGAGGCTCTGGGCTCAGCCCTGCAGCAGTACAGAGACGGCCATTCTTCTCTGATCAAGTGGATCGAAGAAACGACGGAGAGACAAGAAAACACACAACCTGGACAGACAGACAGCAAAGCACTGTCTGAGCAACTGGCCCAGCAGACGGTTAGTGACACTGATTTCATGCACCTTTGATCTGTAGATTGATGCACTGAATGAATGGTTGCCTGGAAGGACAATAAAACAATGCTGTGGATTGATTTTAAGGAATGATGTGTCCATTGTTGTGTGGTAGAAAAACCAACTGGAAACTACACATAGTTTCTGACAGCCTTAATGATATATATATATATATTTTTTTTTTTTTTCCTTTCTTCAGGCGTTAGTAGCTGAGATTGAACAGAACCAGACCAAATTAGACGAGTGCCAGACTCATTCCAAACAGTACTGCACCTCAGTGAAGGTAAGAGACTGTTTTCTGTTTTGCAGTTTGGTTTGGGTGGAGCTGTTTCACTATGATGGTCCAAATTATCACTGCATTGTTCTGTGCTGCAAACAATCAAGAATATGGGTTTGATAAGTGTCAGTTTAGTTTAACTATTTACATTTTAAAGCTCAAAAAAGTGTTATGATACTACTACCTTCTTTTTAACTTACTTGTGTCCCACCTCGCTGTATTCTGTAGGATTATGAACTACAGCTGATGACCTACAGAGCCTTTGTAGAATCTACACACAAGTCACCCGTCAAGAGAAGGAGGATGCACTCTTCCTCTGATGCCATCACTCAGGAGGTAAGGATAGTGACTCTTAAGTCGAATACCACTACGTTTTTGAATATTAAGATAGTAGTTAATTTATATGCTGTCCATTTTATCTGGGTGTATCTCTACAGTTCATGGACTTGCGCACACGCTACACTGCTTTGGTTACCCTGACAACCCAGCATGTGAAGTACATCAGCGACGCACTGAGAAGACTAGAAGAAGAAGAGGTGGGGCTTTGTTTCACCATATATCACTCTCCTGCTTGAAATTGGAATTTGTGGTCAGATTTAATCACAGTAGTGCAAAGTGAGAAGAATTTGTGTATTTGTCTTATCTTGTAAAACTTTTTCTGTGCAGAAAGAGGTGGAGGAGGAGAAGCAGGCCAGGGTGGGCCAGGTTTCAGACCTTCTGGGCTGGGTCAAAGGGCTCCAGGGACGGACTGGGGGCCCCAATGCTGAGTCTTCACTCGCTGCTCAACAGGTAAAGCAGATATCTGATGTATTTGTTATCCATATTATTCTACAGACAATACAATTTTTATCCAAGAAGTTCAGTTGGCTGTTTGGTCTGTGCAGCTCACAACTGTTTATAAATATACATGAAGGATAATGATTCCTCATAAATTAAATATAATTTGCTGTTTAATTGAAACATTAAAATGGTAATTGGTGATGGTAGCACTGTACTAAGCACACTGTGCCTGTGTGTTCTCTAAAGGCCATCAGTGAACAGCTAGCAGCCAAGAAAGATGAAGTGGCTGAAGCCATAAGGAGCACAGAGGTCTTCCTGCTATCAAAACAAGCCAGCAAGTAAGTTTAGATCACATGTATGGACACACACATTGCACTTGCTCCCCAAACACATTCACCACACATACTGTTAGACTTACCCCGAGTCCTAGAAACTAGCACAGAGGAACACACATGAACATCCTCATGTAATTGATGGACCGGTATACAGTAATGTAAATGTTAATAAAATTTAGATGGAAGCCACTTTGAGAAACGTACATGTCGACATCACACACTCAGACACACATTAAACACATAAATCCCACCTGCTCTAACCTGCTCTAACCTGCTCCCCTGTGTCCTCTCCAGGTTGTCCCCAGAGGAGCGTGCTCATGTAGAGGCTCAGCTGGACGAGCTGAAAGCCACATACAACCAGCTGTGTGATAGCTCCACCCAGCAGCTGCAGCAGCTGGAGCAGCAACTGGCCAAAGAAGAGGAAAGAAAGGTAGATTGGTGGGAGGGATTTGCTGAGATGGAGAGGCGATACTGCATATTGTTAACAAAAAATGTATTTTCAGCTTTTGCAAGCTTGACAAAATGTATTTGCGAAGGTACTTTCATAAAATGTTGCTTTGAGTCTGAATACGCTTGCGAGCTAAGCGTGAGTTCATGTGTCGGCCAGCAAGAATGCGTGTTGTACAGCATGTTGTGTGTTCACAGAGTGTGCATTTTTGACAAACATCACCACTATTGACGACTCATTGGCTTGGTTTGGTTTAACAAACATCACAGACCCTATTCAGACGTGTGTTCAGATGATCTAAAAAGATTCTATTTTTGGCACTTTTGTCTGACCTCCTTCTTTGTCATTCAAGCAGAAGTTACAAATAGTAGAATAATTTGACAGTCTAGAAGATTCTGTAATCTGTCAAAAAACACTTCTGCAGGCCACTTTGTAGCTATTGTTTTACTTACAGTAGAAATATGGGAACAGAAGAGGAATAATTCACTGGATGACACTGTCTGAATTGGGCCTCAGCATGTAGTGTTCCACTCTCACATTGTTCTCCTAAAAGCCTGCAGTCATGTCATTAACTATCCCCACCAGTATAGTTTTTCTCATCTTCATCATCATTGTCATTATCATCAGAAAATACATCGGCTGAACTGCTAACATGGTTAATACATGGCCTTTGTGGTGCCGCACTGGAGCAGCGCTGCCCCAGTCATGCTAGCAGTCAGGTAGAAGCTGTAGAGCTCTGCTTTTCGTAGATCCATTGATAGAAACAATCATCTTCGAAGTAGATGCACCTTCACAGTGACTGTCATCTCTGTAGCTACAGAGTATCATATTACCTTTCTTTATGTAGTGGTAAAATATTGCCACTGCATAAAGTCAACATCTTACATTTCAGTATTTATTTTTACTCCATGTATACATGTGCTGTCGACCAATGTTATTGCTTATGCAATACGGTACATCGGTTTAAAAAAGGATTGAATGGTGTGCGAATTTCAGGTTTCAAGCAGTCCTTGATGATAACTCTTATTTCTTAACAGCTGCACCTCATATTTCATTCTTATGTGAATGTTGTATGTTTTTACAGGGGACTTTTATGTGCAAAAAAAAAAACTCACTTGAAGAATAGATGTTTTAAAAAGTAATTTTTGGTTTAGAGTGTAAGTGCACCAGAGGCCAGCTATGCAAAAAACCCACTTCACCATTTGAGCATGTTGTGTCCAGATCACAAGAGTGTGTGTGAATGAGAATTTATGTGTTTGTTCTAATGCATACTATTAATGTGAAACTTTAAACCAGCGTTTTGCTTGAAAACCACTAACAGTTGCCAAAGGAGAATTGTGGACATCCGAGCTCTGAGCCACTGATCAGAATGAGAGATAGAGAGAGCAAGGCATTTATAAACACACTTAATCTGCTGCTGCTCAGTGTGTTAATGAGTTAGTGTTCTGTTTAAATTGGGATTATAAAGTGTATCACAATACAGCACTGTTACAATGTCTTGCCATTGATAATGAGTGATTACAATCTTATGTGATACATGGTATATTGCAAGACAATAATCTGCAATTCATCATGATATCTGTGCAGTGTGTATTGTGATAAATTAGCATATAAAGAATTCAGCCCACCTCCTTATCAGTTTCTATTTAAAGGTGTCATAGTTTTTAATTTTTTTTAATTAAAAGTCAGCAGTAGGATTTAGTGTTAGTGCAGTGGTAAGAGTCAGAATGAAGAGTGGCATGCAGAATGCTAACAACCAGCTTCTCACCTGTCGCGTCTCGCTCTGCCGAGCCATAAGCTGGCCCACTAGTGTGTGTGCCATGGAACAAACCTGTACGGTAAGTAGCGCTCGCTTTCTCTCTTACCGTTGCCTGTAAGTTTTTTCTCACCTAGACATTTTATTCTTTTCTTCCTCTGAATACTTTTGTATTCTTTTGTGTCCTTGCTTACCTTTATCTGGAGCTTTTTCTGCATTTTTTGTTACTAGTTGCTTTGTTGCATGCTTAGCGCTTGTTTTAGAATAGCTGTGGTAAGTATTAAAGCGCTTTTTAATATGAAAGAGAAATTACAATATGGGAAAAAAACAATAGAATTACGAATATGTACAAATATGTAACATGCAGACAAAAGGCAATTCTTTAACTTATAACTGTTATTCTGTTTTTGTGGACACTGGTTGTGGGTTTTCTTCTTTTTCTAATTCTACCATCTGATACTGCCCATTCTACACTATGATAAAATATAATATGATAATATATAGTAACATAACATAATACATTTACCATCTTATCAAAGTGCCATACCACATTGATCTTAAATGTTACCTGAATGAATGTCAACTGGAATTTTGTTTTCTTTTTTTTGTAGAACCAAATTGCCATTGCTGGAGTAATCGACCTGGGAACAGTGGAAACATTCCCAGTGTTCCAAGCAGCCCAACGTGGTCTTATTGACCAGGACACCTGTCATGTACTACTAGAGGCCCAGCTCATTATGGGTGGGCTCCTCCAGCCTGATTCTCCTCTCAGTCTCTCACTGGAACAAGGTCTAGCTCAAGGACTAATTGACACCCATACCAGACAGTGCCTTTCTGAGCTTGAGAGTGCCTTGCTTTTGGTAGAAAATACTAAGTCTAGAGATGAACAACAGCAAAATGTCTTGCCAGTAGCTAAAGCCATGGAGTTTGGGCTCATTAGAGAGGAGGTGGGACTTCGTATTCTAGAAATCCAGATGAACACTGGAGGCCTGAGAAACTCAACGGGAGAAATACTGAGTTTGGAGCAAACAGAAGACAGGAGACTTTTGACTCCCAGAACCCTCACCAAACTCCAGTCAAGGCAACAACATAGAGAGTTGATCGATCCAAACACAGCTGAAAAATTAAGCCTATATGAGCTACAACAGCGCTGTGTCCTCGATGAAGACTCAGGTCTCCTTATGTTCCCTGTCAAACAGCAACCTGGAGGAACTGTCTGCCTCCGGTCCGGAAGAAAAGTTGGCATCTTTCGTGCAGTCCAGGAAGGCCTGATTGATCGGAAAGTTACTGTACGACTTCTTGAAGCTCAGCTCTTTGCCGGTGGTATTGCTGACCCACGGTCTGGCCACCGGCTGACAATTGATGAGGCTGTTCGCCATGGGCTTATGGACCAGGATCTAGCATGTGCTATGTTAGCACGCCAGCTGCAAAATGGGGGGATTCTAGACCCTTTCAGTGGAGAACGCCTGGATTTGGAAGAGAGTATTCGCAGGGATCTTCTCTCCTCTCGTTTGGCTGTGTTGGTCCTTGAGTCTCTTTGGGCATTCATGGGAATATTGTGGCCTGAATCCGGAGAACTCATGCCCATTGCTGAGGCTCTTCAACAAGGAGTGATCTCAGGAGAGCTATCCAGGAACATCCTAAGGCAGCGACATACCATTGGGGCTCTGTACAACCCAGAAACCCTCCAGGTACTGCCCCTAAACCAGGGTGCTGAAGAGGCCCTTGCGCCTGATGTAGTCAGTTTTCTAAAAGACACCCACATCCCAGATGTTCTTTCCAGCATGAACCAGTCAGGTACCCCATCTCTAAACCGTTTGAGCTGGGGTTCCTCCAGCTCCTCTCCACCTCCATCTTCTCCACCACCTTCATCCTCTCCTGAAGGCCTTGTCTGGGATGCTACACCAACACATGGAATGGATCCTGAAGAACAAGCAAAACACAAGCTGCTGTTTCACCTTATGACTCACAGCTATGTGGATGCTCATTCTGGAAAACGATTGGTGCTGCTAGACCCTGAGTTGGTAGAGTTGGTCAAAGCTACTGAACTGGTTGCTGGAGACTCTGTATATGGAGGTCAAGATATGCCACAAAGCAGTTTGACCACTGATGAGCAGGGAAAGCTGCAGATGGTGAGAAAGTTTAGTTTGACAGATAAGGGAGTGATTGACAAACAAACTGAGGTTGAAGAAGAAAGTTCCAGTGTAGTCACACCAAGCAAAGAATTTGATATGAATAGTACAGGCAGGCTAGAAGAAACGTATGACGGAGAAAATGACAACAAATTGCTGCACAAACCATCAGTAACTGTAGAGGGTGATTTAGCCTTTGCGGCTGAAATTGGCATAGATAAAGATGCAAAACTAAAATCCCAAAAATCCCAAAAGAAAGAAATATCCAATCTTGGAAGTTTAAGGGCTTCAACTAAAAATCTTGAAGAGGAATTTACAAAAGGACCAGATAAGCTGGTAGCAATTCAATCCAAACCAAGGGATAGTAGTGTTCAGGAGATGAGAAGTACAACTACAACAGTAGCTAAAAGAGTCCCAGCACCACTCAAATCAGAGAGAGATTTTAGATTGCTGAAAGAACCCATCACACTGGGAGCAAAAACAAATGAAGATGTTAATTTAACACAATCTGATGATAAAAACGATGTAACGCCTTTCCAGACTGAATCAGAAAGGATAAAACAGAAGGTGCTTCTAACAGAGACAGACGCAAAGCATGTTAAACCTCAGATTGATAACCTTGAATCAGCAATGGAGAGGGCAGCGGAGGATGCTGAATTGGCAAGGTTAGTCTTAGAGCTCAAAAAAGGAGGTCTGATGACAGAAGAAGGGGAAAAGCTGCTCCCAGATGAGGCAGTAGCCCAGGGTGTTCTCCCTGGCCATACAGCAGTTAAATTAATGGCTCAGGCAAGTCTGTTTGGGGGTTTCCTAGATGCCAGCAGTGGTGAGTCCCTTAGCATGGATGATGTAATGCAGGAGGGTTTACTAGATGAAGATCTAATGTGGAGTGTCTTGAAGTCAGATAAAACCCTTGCAGGGGTTGTGGATGTAGAGAAAAAGCAGATATGTGGGGTAAAGGAAGCCACTCAGGCAGGGTTGATTGACCCAAACACTGCTGCTCGACTTCTAGAAGCCCAGGTGGTGTCTGGGGGGATCGTTGACCTACGTAGAGATAAGAAGGTTTCTGTCACTCTAGCAGCAAACCTGGGACTGATTGAGGAGGATCAAAGAGAAGAACTGGTGGCACTAGAGAAAGCGTACAAAGGAAAGGATACAGATTCAGCAACAGCTCTGACTAAAGCCAGCTTACAGCTACAGATGGAAGGTGTTGTTGACCCAGAGTCCAAGTCCCCAGTTCCTCTGGAGCAAGCAATTCAGAAAGGGTTAATTAAGTCTGAGGAGGCTTATCAGGTGTTGGCAAGGCAGGTGGCTGAGGGTGGTATAATACATCATGCTTCAGGGATGAGGCTGTCAGTTTCTGATGCTGTAGATAGAGGACTAGTGGATCGGTCCATTGCTCCTGGGCTGGAAGAACTAGAGTGGGTATACCAAGGGAAAGTTAGCCCTTCATCTCACCCAGAAGCTGTAATTTTCCAGGCATCAACAGGAGCCATTTTAGACCCTGACTCTGGGTGTAAACTGACATTGACAGAGGCCGTTTCTAAGGGTCTTCTGGATGAGAATATTGCCAGTGAAGCCATGGCTTCTTCTACTGTAACGCAAGGAACACTTGACCCCCAAACTGCACGCATTGTGCCTTATTCAGAGCTTGTAAACCAGGGTAAGATAGATATTGAAACAGGCAAACGCTTCTTGGAGGTGAAACCATTCAGAGGTATTCAGGATGAGCAAGCAAGAGACAACTTGAGCCTTCCAGAGGCAGTAGCGTCAAAGAAAGTTGACCCAGTTCCAGCATTGAGGTTGCTCCAAAGCCAGGCCAACAGTGGAGGGATCATTGATATCAATACTGGAGAAAGGCTCCCCCTACCTGAAGCCTGTAAAAGAGGTTTGGTTGGAGACAATATGGTCAGGGTAATAGCCGCCAACCAGTTTTTGAAAGGAGGCTTAGTTGATCCTGCCACTGGACAACAAGTGTCAAGTCTTGATGATGCCATTGCAAAAGGACTCATCTCTAGTGACATCGCTTCAGAGATTCAGGAGAAATCGGCGTCTGTGGAGATAGAGGATGAAAATGGTAGTGCTACACCTGTTGCCTCATCAAATGGTACATACAGCCCTGCTATTGTATTGTCAGTGTCAAGCCCAGACAGTCCAGCAAACTGGTCAGACATAAACACTGAGGTGCCTTCAGGATTTCTACTTTCAAAAAAAGGATTGGCAATTACACAGGATGATGGAAAGACACTGACATCTGTAGTATCAGATCAGTCACTGCTTTATGGCACTACTACAGAAGAGGATGAGGTAGAAGTACCAGTGTCAGTGGAAGAAAAGGCTGTTATTGAGCCAGACCAATCCATAGACCTCTTGTGTGAATTTGCTACTAATGTTGAGAAAAGAGTTCAGCAAGCCATAGAAGATGTAATTCCACAGAAAGACATCAATACATCAGAGCCTCTTCCTCAGCAAAAGCTTGATGTGAGACTGCAAATAGGTGTGAGTGAGGCTGATAATAAACAAAAGGGGAATGTTTTGAGAGATATTGTTGGAGAATCTATTCAGACACAAATCTATGATACTGACAAAGATTTTCAGGAAGACAAAGGTGCTGCTATTTTAAAGTCTAAAGATAGGGAACCTGCAAAGGATGAGAAAAAGAAGTATAGACCCAGTGATGAGAGCACAGTGCTTCACCATGATTTTGAAGCGAAATCATTGTCAGGAAACCTGACAGGTCTTGTGGCAGCAGAGATTGGAGATGACAGGGAAAGCAAAGATGGCATTGATTTGTCAAAACTGAGTGAAGAGAATCAAGGAAATAGTGATGTGACAGCACAGAGAGATGATGTTGTCGATGAGAAGGGTAAAAAAGTGGAGAAAGAGATCAAGATCAAATTTAGCACTGATATTGAGCAGTCAGGCCAGTTATTGACGTCTCCATCCAAAGTGACACAAAGCAAAAGCAAGAAAAAGAGGAAGAATAAAAAGAATGGAAATGGTAAAGATGCAGAGAGTGAAACACACCCTCCAGAGATAAAACATCCATCTCAAATTGATCAAGCTGATGCACATATTGAAGGGCAGACTGAGGCTATCGTTTCAGGCACTTATAAGCTTGCATCACAAGACAAATATGAGAAATCACAGATTCAAGGAAAGGCAGCTCCCACAGGGCATCCCAATGGAGAAGGTGAAGCAAGGGTTGACAGGAAAATTGAGGCTGAAAAGAATTTGGTAAAACTGGGACAGGAAGCCGTTTCAGCCACTCTGGAATTCACAAAACTTGCTATTGAGCCAGAGAAAGATACAATAAAAATTACATTATCAAAGGATATAGAAAAGAGGGATAAAGTAGAGGAGATAAAAAGGGAGGAGCAGGAAGAGAAAGTTGAAGAGAAGGCTTCTGTCTCTCAGCAACCAGAACAACAAGAGAGCATTGAGGAGGTAAAGAAAAGGAAGGAGCAAGAATTGCCTCAGAAATCTACTCTACCAGACGACGAGAAAGCAGCCCTGATACTGAAAGCCAAAGAAAGCATTCTTAAAAAGGTCTTTGAAAAAGGAGTGAGCGAGAAGCAGACTGCTGAGGAGCTGCAGGCATTGCGCATCGAGGTGGGAAAGAAGGAGAGTCAAGGTGCAACTGTCAAAGATGTAAAGATACAAACTCTGCCAGCTAAGGTTGATGGGGTGGAGAGTCATGATGTCAGAGATGTAAAGATACAAACTCTGCCAGCTAAGGTTGATGGGGTGGAGAGTCGTGATGTCAGAGATGTAAAGACACAAACTCTGCCAGCTAGGGTTGATGGGGTGGAGAGTCGTGATGTCAGAGATGTAAAGATACAAACTCTGCCAGCTAGGGTTGATGGAGTGGAGAGTCACGATGTCAAAGATGATCATGTCAAGAGACCCAGTGGTTCACCCAAAGAGAGTGTGGAAGAGAAGGGAGATGAAATGAAATTGACAAGGGCTAAAGAAGATATGACAGTAAAGAAATTTTCCGTCAAGGAGGACATGGAGACCAAATTATTGGAAGCTTCTTCAAATGAGAGAGAAAATAACAGGGGTTTTGGAAAAGAAGACATACAAAAAGACATTGAGACAGCTCCATTGGTCCAGCCTAAAGAAATTCAGCAAAGTAAACGAAGTAAAAAGAACAAGAAGTCCAAGAGTCAAAAAGTGGTAGACAAAACAGAGCCTGATACTGAGAAGTTACCGACTGCTGAAAAAGTTGATTCTGAGGTGACACTGACAAAAATTACCACAAAATCTGAAATAACAAAACCAGATATAGATAACGCAGATTTGACTAAGGAGCAGATGATGGACAGACATACTGATGGTCAGTCAGCCAGTGGTGTCATCAGACCTTTAGTTGATGATGAGGCAAATGAAATGGAGTGCTCTGTAGTTGGTGTTAAAGGAGCTGAGAACATTCAGCAAAGTCCACAATATTTACATCACTCAGAGGAACCCAGTTCTCAAATTGAGGAACACTTAAAATTGACAGGCATTACATCTACTGGGAAAGAAGAATCTCCAAAATCCACAAATGCTGGCGAATCCATTGACTTTTCTCAAGTGGCTGTCACATGCAAACCACACATCCAACCCATGGTTCAATCAATGGCTCCTGCAACACAACCAGAAAAAAGAGTGGGGAAAGGTAAAAAGAAGAAAAGGCACCAACCACCTGAAGTTGATTGTACCAATGTTCCTGAATCAAAATCTTTAAAAGACCAACAGCAACACCTTGAGTCTCCAGAATCAGCAGAAGATGCTTCAACTGAGTCTGAATCACCTGGAGTTCCTGAGTCTGATACAGCCACTGAGAGTTGGGAAGAAGGAGAGGATGATGTCAGAGAGAGTCGAAAAACTGTGTCAAACAAAGACGGCACAACATCCAAGAGTAGCAAGGTAAGAAACAGTAAATCATTAGTGAACGATTCTTTCTTAACATTTCATATAGATTTGTTTAGAAGAAACTGTCTTCTGCATATATTTATACACACATTTTTATAATTAATGATACAGTATGTTTTACTGTACTTTTTTCCATTCCCACAGTCATCATTGATGCGTCAGGAATGCTTGGAGCACGACCAGCGAATTGTAGCCCTGGTCTCCATGGTAAGACATATTGAGGTCAGACTCAAACAGCAGCAACAACAGTCGGTTGGCCGCAGCCTCATCGCCTTGGATGACATCATCAGACAGACTGAGGTGAGAAAATATGTGTATTTACCTGAAAGAGATATGCTGTGATATTAATGTCACACCAGCCCACATTAGTGCACTCTGGTTAATTGGCTGGTTGGTTATTGTTTCAGTTATGCATTCGACTTTCAGTGTGAGACAAAAAAGCTGATTTCAGGATTAGTCTCTTACCAAACAGCATCAACAAAACTTTTGTTTTCTTTTCTAATCTGTCTGTCAGACTCTGGACCTTGAATTGTGTGACTTGGAGCCTGCTATCCACAAAGAAGTGGAGGCTGCTGAGCGGCTGTTGAAGCCCCAACCTCAAGATGTTCCTCCGCAGCTCCTATTGGCCCTTGAAAAGGACGGGCGGAGCTTAGCTCGAGGGTATGAGGCTGCCAGAGCACTTTCTGAGGACATTCTGCAAAGTCTACGAGGCCATAGAGACTCTTATAAGGTAATAGAAGTGGTCTAGTGAAAACGAGAATGGAACTTGTGCTTTAGGTGCTCATTTATTGTTGGATTCAAAGAATTCCTTGTTTTCTCTGTGGGTGTGAATTTACCTAGAGTCGAACAAGGTTACAATACTCAACGGCAATATTTGATCACATTTCTCTCTCAGAAGGCGGTAACAGCTGAGCACGAGTCACTTGGAGGACAAGTGGAGAGTCTGCTCTCTTGGTTGAGGGAGACAGAAGCTCAGATGAATGGAGGAATGGCAGGGATGGAAAAAATGGAGAAGGCCAAGAAAGATGACGGTTTTGATCAGCTCACACAGCAGCTGAGTCTTTGCAAGGCAAGTTGTCCAAAGAAAGAAAAACATTTGAATTATAATAATATTGTCTTCTTCTCAAAATCTTTTTTGAAGGAATGCTTAAAAATTGTATTATAATACAACATAGACATTTTGTTACACTTTATATGCATAGTCAGTTGTCAACACTTGCAACATTATTATATTAAACATATGGAACTCTGATTAAGAGCATCTAACAAACAGAACATATGTTGGTACATTATTGGGATTTGTTTCCTCCGAGGCACTGTTCATCTCTTTACCCTGGGTACTCTATGGAGGAAGAACACTTCTGCTCATTTACCACTCTTCTTTCTCTTTCCTTGAAGGAGCTCCAGTCCTCTCTGACGGCTCGCTCCAATGAGGTCAATAATGTGGCCTTTGACATTCAGGTGTTCATCTCAGAGCGGGCTCAGGACCTGGCCCCTGAGCAGAGCAGGCAGCTTCTGGGGCAGCTCCAGCAGCTCCAGAGGGCCTTCCATCAAGCGTCAGGCCAAGCTCAGGCCTGGGCCGATGCCCTCTCAGCCCAGAGAGAGAGGGAGGAGGAGTGGCAGCGCAGGGAGAGAGTAAAAGAAGAGGAGAAGGACAGAGAAAGGCAGAGTGCAAGGGAGAGAGAGGTTTGGAAAAAGATGATTGAGTCGGATTGGTTTGAAACGCTGCGCTGTTTCTCACTAATACATTTGAAATGCAAATAGCTTTCATTAACTAACTATATTTCACAGCTTTTTTGTCACGCTATAAACTATTGCCATGCTTTCATATACACAAGATCTTTGTACTGTTTCGATACGCACTGGCGTTCTCTAAAATCATATCAAACTAGACTAGAAACTGTGAAGCTTGATGTAAACCAGCTAACCTCCACCTCTATTTAACTTGTAGTGCCATTATAAATCATCCATATAGCAACCCACTGCTGCTCTTGTTGCAAATGTGCTTTTAGTGTGTGACACGCTTGTGCCACTTGACATGGACAGTATCACCATCCTCACTCCTACTACACAGGCTTTTTATGCAAGTGTGTGCTACTCTGCATGTCTATATAACATGTGTTTTATTAACCTGTTTGCCTTGCTGTTCCAGATTGCCACTGAAGGAAATCGCTTGTGTCAAACGGCGGTAAAAGCTAGAGATCTGATAGCAGAAAAGCCTCGCTGGCTACAATGCTTAACTGTTTTTCCCTTGTCTCACCTGAGTACAGATGAGAAAGGGGAAAAACAGCAAAAAAAAAAAAAAATACATTTGTTGGATTTTCTCCATGTATTGTTTGTTTATGCTTGACCAACATGTAAATCTGAAGATACTATATGTGAGTCTGTATGTCTGCCTGTGTGTGTAAGTGTGAACTCTGGACACAATCTGCTCAAAGCTTTGGCAAAGTGTGCACTACACAAGAATTTTGTTTAGGAGCAAATGTGCTTTTAGCGTGCTCTTATTTTAGGAAGTAGAAAAAAAACTGGTGGTTAAATCAAAAATGCAAAAGGGTCTGTTCCTGTCACAAGATCTACTTTAATTGTTTATGATATACTTATCCTCACTAATTCATGTCAGTATCCGATTTTCTCACATTTTCTTTCTTTGTTGGTTTTTCTATTTTTTCCTCCCCATTAATTTTTCTCAGGTGGTTCAACAGCAGAAAGCCGAATGCTCTCAGAAACTAGAAGGCCTTACTATGTGGTTGGCTGGAGCTGCCAGCTTGCTGGCCAGTCAGAAAGCTGGAGAAGAGTCAGCTGATGTGAATGTCCTGCAAGAGAAGCAGAAAAAACTAAAGGTATGAAACTCTGATCTCCTTCCACATCTTAATATGTAGGCTACATGTATATTCAGCTCATTATTATTATGTTTTTTAACTAATATTTGCATTTTAACTCTATTTGATGGCGAATAAGAAATACTTATAGCTGCTTTAATTCGTTCACCTTAACTTAGTTCATCCTCGCTGTTTCAGACACTAGCACATGTTATTCGCCTGGTGAACATGTTTACTTCTTTGACCAGATCAAACCTGCTTTGCCTCACTCTCTAGGAAGTACAGAAGGAACTCCAGACCAAACGGGAGGACATAGCCGAGGCTATCCGCTCTGTGGAGGAGCTCCTGGCAGAGCGAGGAGAAAGTCTGAGCCCAGAGGAGAGGAAGAACCTCCAGGGGGCACTAATAAGAATGAAGGAGCAGTACAGTGGCCTTACAGATTCAGCAAACACGTCACTGTCAGAGGTGGACACAGCCATCAACACCACTGTACAGCAGAACACACAAAGGGTAAAAAGATGAGAGAGGTTATAGATATACTATAGATATATACTATTATATTGTATGAAAAAATACTTTTTTTGTATTCATACTATTTTCCCCTTCCTCTCTCTTCTCCTCCAGGCAAAGGCTGAGGAGGAGCTACAGGAGACCCAAGGCCAGATAAACTCTCTGCTGAATGAGTTGTCTTCCCTTAACCAACCAGGCGGGAGAGGAATTGGATCTGGAGTGGTCAAAGATGTTTATGATTCTCCCTTTTCACAGCCAGAGGGCGCTATGATGTCACACACAGAGATGCTGCAGGTTAGAATCTCTCATCTATACGTAGTGCATTTTGATTCACACATCTTACAACATTACCAAGTTATGATGTATGACCTTTGACCTCTCCCAGGCGGAACTTCAGCAGCTCCAGTCTCAGCAGGCACAGCTACTCCAGATCACACAATCAACTCGCTCCCTTCTGGACCAACCTGACTCCACTGTTCCTCCTGAGGAGAAGCAGCGTCTCCGGGCTGCCCTGGATCTGCTGCAGGCCCAGCACCAGGACAGACTGCAGAGCTGCCAGGTTCTTAAAATAAAAACTGATGTGTATTTTAAGTCTGCAGCAAGGCCTCCTGATCTGCCTCATGTCCCCCGATCTGTGATATGTTTATCTTGTATCTGATTACATTTTAATGGGGTGCCAGTGAGTTCATTTTGAATATATTGAGTTAATGAATTTAAATTTAACAAGGTCATGGACAAACAAGGGCAAGACAGCTTTTACATTTTAGTGGTCTGGTTATATGAGTCTATTAGATATTCACCTATGTTTTTATTAATAGTTAACTCACTGTTTCTGCTGTTACTTTTTCTTCTAGGACCGTCTGAGGAAGTCTGAGGCTCTGAAGGATGAGCTGACCAAGTTCCTCCACGAACATGGAAGTCTAGGTACCTGGCTGGAACAAAGTGAACAGGAACTCCGTTCCCTAGGGGAAGGAGAAACGGACGCACAAGGACTGAAGGGCCGGCTAGAGGAGCACAGAAAGGTGCAAAAAATACACACCTTAATAAAATAATGGAACTTTCTATATGCATGTTTTTGATTTACCTTTTTTCACACAATCACAAACACACATATGTGAGTTTATCATGCCCCTACAACAGGCTGCAGATTCTCCACAAGAGGGAGCTGTCATGTCAGACAAATTTTACACAATCTATGATACTTGCAGGGAATTAAGAGCAGCAGCACTTTAGACCTACACACAAAGAACTCAATAGTAATCTTAAAATCTGGTTAGACCCATACCCCTTCCTTTCCCTCTGAAGAAACTAGGCACACACCCTTAGAACAGTGTGAACAAGACAACAAAACATACGTTTGCAGGTTTAAAATATAGCCAAAAACAGATTTTGAGCAACTTTACAAAATATTACCAAAATGGAAATGTATCCAGGGGGCCTTTGTCTACATCTGTAGGTTCACACTGCTTCTGCTGTTACTTTTCTAACCTATAAGTGGTACAGGTTGCACTGTAACTGCAGGTCTGAAATGCTGCTACTGTGGCTCTACAGTTGGATTGTGTTGGCTAAGCCAGTATCACACACTGCATCTGGGTCCAGTGTAACTGAGTAAAAACACGTACTTTTTTGACCTTTAATTATCCATGGAAGACTGAGTTTCCAAGCCGAGTTTCCATCCATCCATCCATATGCCCCGACATGCCCTGATGACTACACTCACACAATCACACGTTCTCATCTGGGAGCCACTGAGAAGCTCAACTGAAGCAGTCTGGGATAATTTTCCCTTGAGTCCCTTGATATCACATTTGCAATGTTTTAAATCCTTCTCTCACACATTTTTTCCCAGCAATTCTAGAAATGATGATGGTTCCAATTAACACAAATGTTTTTATAACAATTAGATTTTTCCAATAAACATACTGTACTTATCTGACCTGTAAATGTATCTGTATTTCCAGCTTGCTGAGGAGGTAATTTGCCACAAAGCGGACCTGCGCTTTGTCTCCATCTCCGGTCAGAAAGTTCTGGACTCTGTTCAAGGAGCACTGGAGCAAGTTGGTGGTTCAGACCCAGCAATGGAGAGCACCAAGCAGGTGGTAACTGACAAGCTGCAGGACGCTAACCACAGATACACAACCCTACACACCAAGGTGAGGGAAACCCGAATAAACTCTAGAATTAATTTTTAAATGAAGCTCAATTTATTAGTTCTTACACTTTTAAATTCTTTGTTGTGTGTGTGCAGTCAACAGAGTTGGGCGGCCGTTTGTCCGGCCTGTTGGAGAGGTACCAGCAGTACCAGGATGAGGTCGTCTCCCTACACTCCTGGCTGAGCACTCAAGAACAGAACCAAAGCATAGCCAAGCCCAGTGGGGAGACAGACCCCCAGAACCTGCAGAACACACTACGACAAGTACAGGTGAAGCATGCATTACGTACATTCATATAAATAAAACACAAAGTGAGGGAGAATGCAGGAAAACAGCGCATACCATATACAGAGGATGGGAAAATGTTGTTCATGATCTGGGCTTGTCGACAGACATCCTTCCCAGCCGCTACATCATGTTGAATACAGTCCAAAAAGTTTAAATTGAGACAAGAAATTAACATCTGGAAAAAGAGTAGAATACTAAAATGGAAAGAATGTGGGAACCTTGTCTTGGCTTTATAATGTCCTGTCAGCTACAGAAATGATTACATTTTGATTACAAGCGTGTCTTCTGTCCTCAGCTGCTGCAAGACGAGATGGCTGAGCGTTCGGTGCAGCTGGAGAAGGTGAAGAGAGCTGGGAGAGATCTGGTCAGCACAGATGAGTCTCCTTCCCTGAAAGCTGTCGATATCCTCTGTTCTGCAGGTAACTTACAAAATCTGCTCCCTTTAGTCTTAAGTACAGACTATTGCTCCTGGAGGGGTATTTTATCCCAGTTTGTGAAGTCCACATTCTGACTGCACTGTTTGAATTAAGCAGATATAAATGGCTGGCTTTTCTTTCAGACGGTTTAGAGAAGAGGTTCGGCTCCCTCTCTGCATCTGTGTCAGAACGGGCTGAGCAGCTACAGACCGCTGTGGCCCAGTCGGTCAGTGTCCAGGAGGGCCTCAAGGGTCTGCTAAGCTGGCTGGACAAACTGGTTCTGAATCCAGGACCAGTTGAGCCCACTGCACAGGCTGTACAAGACGCGCTGACCCAGAACCAGGTAGGAGTAAACCGAGAACTCCTTACAAAGTACAAAATACATAAATAAAAATTATACTTTCTGTCTGTAAGCATTGCATGCAGAAACTAAATTATAATGTGAATATTATGCACCACATTGGACATCTTAAGGAAACATGATCTGCCTTTAATGCACAAAAACAGTTTTCCTCAATCAATAAGAATGATTCCACATATTTTATTGTCGCATCTACAAATCAAACTATTGCTGAAGATTGCAGCCTAAGTCTCAGTTTGTCTCCGTTCTTTCCCCAGAAACTTCGCCAGGAGCTGCTGTCCAGGCAAGGCAGCGTGGAAGCAACACGAGATTCTGTTTCCAAACTCCTTCAGAGCTCTGACGCCTCCACGGCCTCTGGCCTCCAGGGTGCTTTAGATGAACTGACTCAGCGCTACGCTGCATCACAGGCTAGCCAGGCCGAGCGTGAGGCTGAGCTCAGAGGACTGTTGCCCAGGCTGGAGAACTATGAGAGGCTGGGGACCGACCTCCAAGTCTTCACCCAGAGCCGACTAAAGGCTCTGAGCCCAGCGGGCCAACCAGACCGGAGTGTGGATGACTACAGGCAGACCATTGAGGTTAGCAGAGGGGTCAAATTTTCATTTTCAGTATCTCATTTGAATTATATGATTTAAAAGTTTTAAGATTTCTTAAAGCCTCTAAGGATATCAGTGGATAAGTTATACTGTCTGTTTATTCAACACTTTTGTCCGGTGTGTCTTTTCTCAGGAGGTCAGGTCCGAGCTGGAGCAGGAAGCTGGCCAGCTGAAATCCTTCTGCAACCTTGCCACCGACCTCAGCCAATCAAAAGCTTTCAGTAACACTCAAAGCTTATTGGATAATGTCAAAGGGGTGTCTGATGAGTTCACCCAACTGGAAGCCAATGTCAACGAAAGGTAAAAATGTTAACAGATACCATGTGAAAAGTGCCTTTTTTTAATTTATGAAGCAATCTTAAATTTCTATAACTTTGCTGAGGAGATTATTAAATTATTGGTCCCTGTTGATAGCAAATCAGTTGTTTCAATTTGTTTTCAGTAGGAAACAGCATAAATCCTGATCTTGTCTATTGCACAGGTTACCACAAATTACACAAGGGGGCAGCAAATACAAAGCTGTTTGAATCCATTCAGCTGTATAGTTTTTGATGCCCAGACGTTAGTGAGGCCAATTCTAGTTTGTCTGACAACAAACCGGATAACCTTCAGACACAGAAAAAGTTCAACTTTAACAGATTTGATTAGATATGATAGGCCTGCTTGTAAGAAAAAAAAAACTGTGACTGGCTCTGCAGAACAGACTACTGCCACTGGCACTTCCAAAATTTGTTTTCTAAATTTAAAACCTTCACGGAGCACCAGTTGCTATGCCTACCCTGTCTGACGTCGTTTCAGTGAGCAGCCACACTTGAAGCCTGTCAGAAGGGGGCTATGGATTTAAAAATACCATTATACTTGAGTTTGGTGAGCCAGTCACATAAAAGAAACCAAAATAGGCTGTCTTATGGACATGTTTAAATATGTCCTGATTATATAATAAGAGATAAAGAATGGGATTATTAAATAACTTCTCTTAGTAAACTTGTTGGTGAGAGCACTCATAGAACATACTGTACATGATGTATGGGGATTATTTGCTGTGTTGCGTGATGTTTCACAGCAGTTGGTTTCCAAGTACCGTACAGCGCATCTGCTGTATGTGTGTGCTGTATCTGTGTGGCCAGTGTGAACTGATAAGCAGGCCTGGGTGCTAATATAAGCAGAGTGGACATGGCTCATTGTCCGTCCTATAAACGGCCTACTCGGATGACTCCCAGCCTCGAATCCCGAGGGGCAGAAAATAGCAGCATGATAATGATACTGCTCCATGCCAGACGACTTCTCAGAGCTGTTTTGTCTACGGGCAGTCAGCACTTTTCCAGCCATAGTTCGAGATGGATCATATACAAAGAGAGGGGAGGTCAAGGCTGTGTTAATGCTGGCCCTTGAATAATCCTTGTCAATAGTGCATTGTCTATTTTTATATTTTCTTAAAATAGAATATAAAAACAGCTTAAAAGAAGCCATGTGATTGCTTTACTTTATGTTGAAAACATAAATATTCTATATACAAATATTCTCTGCTCTCCTTTGTCCTTACCTCTTCTCCTCTCTTCCTTTCTGTATCTTTTTTCTTCCTTTATGCAACTCCCCCTCTCCCTCTGTATCACTGCTTCCTTCCTCCCCTTGCTGTTCTTCAAACCATCCTCTTCCTCCTGTGTCCTCTGTTTTTTTCTCGCAGGTTTGCTGCAATCCAGGCCTGTGAGCAGCAGCTGCTCCAGTTCCGCGGCCTCTCTGGCTCCCTCCTCAGGTGGCTTCAGACAGCACAGGACCAGCTGCCGTCCAAAGAGGCCAATCTCAACACAGAGGGCCTGCAGAGAAGAGTCCAGCAGCTCACGGTGTGTGTCTAATGATTCAGAAACAAAATATACACATGCAAACCCTGCATCCTTTGGTTTTACGTAAAAAAGCATTTAGGAAACATGCTGTTTGAATCCTCTGACTAAATCATGTTCTCTTAGAGCTCAGTGACTCAGTAAAATGCATTATGCCTCCAGGACTTGCTGAACGACTGGGAGTCACAACAATCAAGGGTTCAGGAGCTGAACAAGACTGGTTCAGAGCTGGAGTCCCTCATCATCGACATCACCGCTCCTCAGACCAAAACTGGTAAGAGCAGGAATGGAGACGCTGCCAAACATATCAATGCTCCCACTCTCCCTCAGTTGAAATTACTTATTTTCCTCATGAGAGAGCATTTTGGAAACGATTTAAAGTAAGATTTACAGGTGGGAGGGAAAAAAATCCCCAAGGGGGTTTATAAAATGATTTGACCTGAGAGAACCACAGAACTGCAAAACAAATCATGAACACAGGGGAGCAGGGAAGAAGGAAGGGCAAAACAGAGTGAAATCCATTTGCATTTATAATCAATTCTGTTCAGGTAATTTGTTTCGGTACAGCTGTGACTGCAGGTTTGTCAAAGAAATGCAGTCAAATACAACAAAACTATAAACTGAGACCTTATGAATTGTTATATATATGAATGATGCCCTCCAAGTATGTGATCCTAACCTCATGGTTAAATCTCACCGTTTGTTGGTTGCTTTGAAGCAAGTTGAGCATAAGTTGAAATTTGAGACATTACACAAATTTCTTTTGCTTTTTGATACATCCATTTAATATCTGTGTCATGTAAAGACTATGGGTTTCCTCCATGTCTTTCTCACTACCGTCGTCTGTTTCCACGGCTTTTTGTGCATCGTCCTCAGTTCTCCCGCTGAGCTCTGTGTGCTCCGAACTATTTGTGAGTTGGCAGGACTTCCCGGTGCTGTCGAGAGCTTGTGTCATAACCGAATAAAACATGTTGGTACATTGCTGGTCCTGTTTTGCGTGTGACCATGCCTGGGTGAGTGTGTTGTAGTGCCACTGTCTCAGTCAGGTGTGTGTCTTTCTCCCAGGTGCTCCTCAAATCAATGGCTCAGCAGGTCCCAGCAGTGTCAATGGCATTCACACCTGTAAAGGTGAGCTCTCCCTCTAGCTCTCACTCTAGCTCTCTCTCTTTCTTCTTTTTCTCTCTTTTTATTTGTTTCCTCCTGAAAATGAGTTTCCAAGATAACACCATTTTCAGTTAACACCAGTTGAATTGTGCTCCACCTGTATTGGTGTTTGTTTCAGTCACTGTGAAAGATTACTGCACTGTTTTCTGTTTCCAGTGTTCTGTTCTGTTCTGTTCTGTCCTGTCTCCTGTCTGCTTTGTGTCCATGCAAAACATCTGTCAGTTGCAAATTTGTTCAATTAAAGAAACATATCATTGCAACATCAGGATTTACAAGACACCCTTTATCTGGGCTGTTCTGATCTACATGAACCTGTGGGCTAATAACTGTAGTTCTTATTAGCCTATGTTTATAGTACATCTGCTGATTTTATTCTACGAAGATTTACTTCTGTATTTTTATTGTCTGTATCTGCCCTGCTGCTAACCTCCATTTAGCTATATGGTAAGCACATTTCTCCTTTCTCTTTTTGTCCCCTCAGACCTGACGGAGCTCCAGGTAGCCGTATCTGACGTGAACGGACGATATGAGACGCTGGGCGGAGAGTTGAAGGAGCGTCTCGGTTGCCAGCAGGCCTCACTGGAGCTGAGGCAGAAAGCCAGGCAGGGCGCTGAGGAGCTCAAGAGCTGGCTGACGGACAGAGAGCACAGCCTGAAACAGGGACAGACCGCCTCCCCCTCCAGACCTGAGGTGGTACGCGCCCAAGCCCAGGAGAACAAGGTAAAGGACTGGGTCCATCGTCTTTTGTGCATGTTCTGTGATGCTTTTCCTACTGTAGGTGAACACCAACGCCAACTTGTTTGCTTGGTCTAATTTATTTTGTGATATTGAATAGATTTATTATTTTTAAGCTGTTGCTTTAAGTCCTCTCGTTGTCGTCTTCCTTTTCTTCTTTAGGCCCTGCTTACAGAGCTGTCTGAGCACTCTGGGAAGGTAGAGGAGCTGAAGAACTCGCTGAGGAAGCTGATTGCTGACAATCCTGATTCTCCTGAGGCAGACAGCTGGAGACAGCAGCTGCAAGAGATAGGTAAATGAGGACATATGACACAATGGTGGGAGATCTATTTTACAGAAAGTGAAGCATTAGTGCTCTGTTTCAACTAATGGAGATGCCCAAAGGCAAAAACTAAAGTAGAATGGTGGGTGAAACTAGGAAAACATTGCCAGGACACACCGGCTATAGTGTTTTGAGGTCATATGAATACTGTACAGAAAGAGAGTATATTGTATCAGGACCAGAGGCAGTCATGTGGAGTTAACTTGTACAGGAGATGCAAGTAAGTGATACAGAGTAAGAACACCGCCCCAGGGACTGAAAGAATCATTTCGTGGACAGTCAGTGAGTTTATGCTGTCTTATGGCTGTCAGGCCTTTCCATAAATGTGAAACAATAAGAGAATAATAAAATGGTATTGACATTAGCTGGACATGAACAGCTAAAAGAAACCTATGTAAACTTTAAAGGGGCTCAAAAGTAAATGGAAATAGGAAATAGAATCAGGCCTGAAGATATCGGAGGATGGTTGGTCGTCTTAGCCTGGCTTTTCCATAAGTCATTCCAGTTTCAACTCCTGGTGAGATTTCTGTTGGAAGGACATCATAGAATATTTTGTGACTCTAAAATGTAAATTTATACAAAGGAGTTCTCTGAAACAAAACAAAAGCTGGACACAGTGCGGTTAAAGAAAATGGCTGACCATTTACATATTGTCTGAGCTTGTCTGTGAAATGTTTCATATTAAGTGTTTGCTGAGAGATAATGAAAATATTTGGATCAGAAGTTGATTTATAATTTATATAATTTATTATATTTTATCCGGGCAAAGTCCTGTATAAACTTACGTCACAGGATGTATATCTCTTTAAAATACTTTAATCCCTCAAATTGCATTAATTGCTGCAGGCAAACTTTTCACTAAAGGATGACTGGACTGCAGGACTGAATTTATACTGTATATATGTGTCTAAAAGATCTAACCCATTACATATGTGATTGAAGTATTATTTTTCTTGAAAATAATAAAGTTGCAAAACAAAAACAGGGTTCAAAAGTGCGTATAGAAGGAAACTGTGTTTTTGAACAACAGTGCCTCAGAGTTTGTAATAATTTTTCTAAGAGATGGTGAGGAACTGAGATCAATATTATCCAGGGAGAGAGTGGGAAGTGTTCCTGTCAAAGCTATTTGTTCACTCTCATACTTGATATTTTTACCAGGGCCTCCTATGAGGTAACTGAGACAGAAATATTTAAGGTGAAATCCAAGAAGGGGGCCTTTATATTTCATATTTCATAATGCCTTTTCAAAGCCATGTGGAGTGAATGCGCACACAGACACACACACGCTGCTGGATGCCCAGATCATGAGTCAGAGAGGGAGAAAGAGACAGGAGAAGTAGGAGGAGGGACAGAGGAAGACAAATGTCTTATTGTTTCATCAGTCTTCTTCACATTGAGTCAGGCTTCAATGAAGGAGATTGGTTTCATCACCATCACTGATATCATTTGAAAACTGATTGCCCTCATTTTTACATTGTGCTGTAATAGGACTTTAATGGTGTACAGCTTAATGTGAAAAGATGATTACCTTAGAAGGAAACAAGACAGAAAACATGGAACAATGATATATGACAATTTTTATACATTCTGCAAATGGCGTGTTAAATGTTCTCCCACTCCTGTCTTGATTGATAATTTCCCCAGACTCCCGCTGGCAGACGGCCAATCAGACTGCAGCCCAAAGGCAGACTGAGCTGGAGACGTGTGCCGATAGGCTGGGCAGCTTTGCCACGGCGGCCAATCAGCTGGGCCCTTGGCTGAGGGAGAAGGAGCTGATGATGAGCGTGCTGGGACCGTTGAGCATCGACCCAAACATGCTCAACACACAGAAACAACAAGTACAGGTATGTGATAGTAGACTGTAGACAGCATCGCATGTACAACAGTTATCAATGCACACACACAATGTGGTAATACATACGTACAGAAAATCCAACATGAGGAGAAATATATAAAAGAGAACCAGAGAATAATGGAAATGCACTGAATGAACAATAAAAACTCTTGTTCTTTCAGTTCCTTGATTAGACTGTTTTCTCTTATTTTAAGACATCAACATTTTAAGGCTTTCCTCTGTTTAAACACACAGCTTCTGTTTTAATGATATCTGTGTTCCTGATCACTTCACTGAATAATGTGCTCTCACCTCTCCTCTATCTTCAAGTTTATGCTGCGTGAGTTTGAGACCAGGCGGCCGCAGTTTGACCAGCTGACCCAGTCCGCTGAGGGAATCCTCACCCAGACTGGTGACTCTGCTCAGGACCCCAAGGACCTGGCGGAGGTGCGGGCTGAGCTGGGCTCCATCTCCCAACAGTGGGAGAACCTAACAAACCGACTGAGTCAGAGGTCAAACCACATTGACCAGGCCCAGGGAACTAGCGAACGATACCAGGTACATTTAGTAATAGTTGTATGTTAGGCTGTCACCGTGACGCTACGATTTTCTAACCCTCCTCCTCTACTGCCCAGGCCTTGCTCAGAGAGCTCTCCTCTAGTGTCTCTGCTCTGGGCGAGAGGCTGGATGCTCAGGCCTCGCTGAGTGCCCAGCCAGAGGCGCTGAAACGCCGCCTGCAGGAAACTGGAGAGATTCGATCGGAGCTAGAGAGACGGCGGATCGAGCTGGGAGAAGCTGAGAGGCTCTGCCAGGAGCTAAGCGCTATCGTGGCTGAGCCCTACCTGAAGGAGGAGCTGAGTAAACGACTGGAAAGTGTCAGCGGGCCGCTGAAGAGTTTGGAGGAGCGCGCAGGTCTGTGAAGTTTATGTGGTTGACATAGTAATTGTGCTTTTAGTGGATTTTATGTGTCCTGAAAGAGTTCTCATGTGTTTATCATGATTTATTTGTTTATGGTGATTTTCTATAGAGATAATGGCCCATTTTAATGAACTGATAAGTAAAGTTTTGAAGTAGACAAACAATATTCCCTTTCTAACTTAATCCACCGTAAACCCTCTTTAGCTGTAATGGGAATATTGTTTTGATTATATAAGAAAATACGACTAACAAATCCACTAAAATAAATAAAGCAAAATCTCCACCAGCCCTATTGGTCCTTTTTTGTTTGAATTTGTTTTTCAGTGTTTATGTTTGTAATCCCTTTGCTCTGTGTTTCTTTCCTCTAGCTGACGGTCTGTCTCAGCTCCAGACTGCCCTATCATCTACTCAGCAGTTCCAGCAGATGTTTGAGGAGTTGCGCTCCTGGTTGGACAAGCAGGCAGATCCCAGAGAATCATCCAGCGACTCTCTGCCCTGTCAGCCTGGGGCTATCCGCTCCCTTCTGGCACAGACAGGTGAACTCCAGCGCGGGATCGCCAGTCAGCGAGGTTCCTATGAGCTGATACAAGCCGAGGGAGCGTCACTGCTCGCCACTCTGCCCGCAGGCGGAGACGAACGATCTGCCCTGCAGTCTCGCCTGGCCTCCTTGAGGCAGGACTGGGACGGGCTGAACCAGAAAATCTCAGATCGAGAGAGCAGACTGAAGACCACCTTGAGCAAAGCAGACACCTACCAGCAGCACAAGGCCGAGCTGACACCGTGGTTAGCAGAGTGTGAACAGAAAGATGGAGAAATCAAGCCGTCATTGGACCCATCGGCCCTGGACGAGGCCTTGCAGAAGGCTCGTGGTTTATCTCTGGACCTCGAAAGAAGACAACCTCTCCTCGAGTCCTTCAATACCGCAGCAGATCAGCTGCTGGAACAATGCTGCATCGGGGAGGAAGAGGTACATAGTTATACTGACTTTGATTTCAAATCTCAAGTGTGTTTTATTGCAGTATTCAATTGCATCTGCTCGATTGTCTTGATATGCTTTATAGCTTAATTATTATGTGTGTTATCATTTGGGTGTGTTTCACTATTTCATCATCACCAACTTAATTATTATTGCTTTAAAAGTGATAAATTAAGTAAATGAAGAAAACTAAACTGATGTAATGTAAACTCATTTTCTCTAGGTACGAGATGAGAAGGCCCAGCTAAACCGCAGGGTGGACAAATTGGGCGAGAGGCTCCATAACCGCACCTCCCAGCTGGAGGAGCTGGCTGGCCGCCTGAAGGAGTTTGAAGAGGGCAGACAGGCTGCAGAGAGGAGGCTGGAGGCCGCCAAGCACCAGATTGAAGTCCAGGAGGCTCTGGGACCACAGGTACTGAAAAACAGTGTTCACTGTCCTCGTGTCACTTTTCACTGTGAAAAACAGCACTGTTGATGAAAAATGCCATGGTTATTACAAAGACATAATGTAGGCTTTGACTATTCATGTTTACTTCTCTCCTATCCAGGCATGCAGTGCAAAGAGCCTGGAGCGGCTCAGAAGTCAGCAGGAGAGTCTGAGGTCTCTGAAGCCTCAGGTGGTCTACCTCAGAGACCTGGCCCAGGGGCTGGTACAGGACTCGCCACAGACACCGGGAGGCAGCACTGAGGGGGCACAGAGGCTTCAGGAGCAGGCCAAAGAAACAGAGAAAGAGTATGACGATGTTACTGACAAGGTGAGGAGCGAGGTCATAGTTGGGAAAAGAGAACAAAAGGGGAAATGTGTTTTTGTTAGAAATGCTCCAGATCCTCCAGGTTTACATAGTGATCAATAAAGACATTCAAGACCTTATCCTCCCAAACCTGATCAAAGATCGCCAGTGAAAGCTAGTGAATGTCCAAAATATACTTGACCCATATATTAAAGTAGTTCAGAGTCCCCCGCCCAGCAGGTAGCTGTGGAGAAACTGCAGAACATGAAGAGAGGAGCGAGATGAAAGGCGTCATAACAGTTATGAATTAATGTAACCTCAACAATTTATGCCATCTGGAGTGAAAAGAAGTTGTACAACTGGGGAACTATTTATACCGAGGGTCACTGTGTGAGAGGGTGTCTGCGTGTATGTGTGCTGCATGTGAGTGTGGCGCTTAGCAGACAAGTGTCGGTGAGCTGAGAGAGAGCAGAGCAACAATGGCTGTCAGAAGAGTTTTGCTATTTGAGTTACAGTAATCATATATGGTCATTGTGGACATTCAACACTTTATTATAGTTTGAAATGTAAACCAAAGCTTTGAGAATTTAGCACCCACTGTATTGCATCTGTTTTCTGCAATCCGGCCTCCAAATATTCCATTTAAGGTTGCAACTATCACTGGAACTCCTAACTGTATATAAAACCATTGCACTGCACTGTTACTCACTGAGATGTTTTGTGTCTTTTTAAAAATATCGATTTGATGTCATTGTTACTGAGGAAAGAGTTGCTGTGCTGGTGGAGATGATGCAGATCAACTCTTAGATAATGGTTCTTTCTTTCTTGCACCTTCACTGTCAAAGTCTATTTTTACTTGCTGCTGTGTTGCATCATTTTCTGGTTTGGTTACATGTTATTCTGTTCCAGTGGTTTGTTCAGTTTTGACAGGGGAAATATTACGACAGGCTCCTTTTGAATGATTAATTTGTGGTTTTGAATAAGAAATCCTTTTGCATCACACAATATAACCACTGTCCTTTATTCATCTTAATGATGAAGATTTCTGGTTTGGTTGGCCATCTTGTGACTGAAAATGTTTCGTAAGAAAATCCCATTAGTGTGAAAAGTGCAACCACTCATTCATAATTTCTGATTAGATACCTAAATCTGAATTCTTCCACCTTTTTGAAATTATATTTTCTGATTGGGTCTGTCACAAAATGTGTCAGTGACCTAGAGAGTAGAGAGACGATCTTTCGGCTGGAAGGCAGACGTTTAATTTTGTACTTTTGAATTGTGATGTACCTTTTTATAAATTAGTCTTTTACCTCCATCAGATCGAGCAGTGCTGCTCCTCCCTGGAGTCCCGGCTGCAGGGAGTTGGTGAGGTCCAGTCTCATGTGCGTGATGTCTTCTCACGCCTTGCCGATCTTGATGATGAACTGGACTCCCTCAGCCCCGTCGGACGCGACGCAGACTCCCTGGCCTCTCAGGCCGACGCCCTGAAGGGCTTCTTGTCCCGTCTGGCCAACCTCAGGTCGGAGCTGGAGGGTCACGCGACAGAGTGCACCACCATGCTACGACGAGAGGGCTCCTCCCCTGACCTCCTGGCTCTCAGGAGGGAGACAGAGGCTCTGAGCCGCCAGGCCGGCAAGGTGAGCGGGTCGAAAGATGATGATGATGGTGGTTGTCATAATTTGGTGGTGACATTGTTTAGTGCAGTTATTGGCTCTATTTATGTGATGTAAAAGTTAAACTGGTTTCATCCAGTCACAATTCCTTTATTTCTGTTCCCAAATTTCCAGCTGAGTGAGCGCGGCCAGGGCAGGTTGGACCAGATCGAGGACGCTGCTGAGAAGGTTCGGGAGTTCTACAGGCTGGTGGCCGAGCTGCAAGGCCTGCTGGGAAGGGCCGAAGAGGGGCTGAGCGCACAGGGCATGGTTGGCACAGAGGTGGAGATGATCAAACAGCAGCTGCAGGAGTTCAAGGTAGGATCAGCTTCTTTTTGCTGGCTATTTACATGGATTTGACCTGTGTGGTTATGAGTGTGCATTGTGTGTGTATGGGAAGTGGCAAGAAGTACCGTAGAAAAACATTTCACTGTGTGTGTGTTGAGGATGGTTGGAAAATGTGAATGAAATCTGATTTGCAGTAGTTTCTTATATTCCTTCTTTCTTCATAAAATCCCATTTCCATAGAGTTTTTGTTGACATGTGCTACAGTACATGTGTATTTGTCATTGGCCTCAGCAGTTGTGATATCAGCTTGATTGTGTTGGTACAGCTGAGAGAATCTAACTGAATTCAGGGTGAAAAGGTTATACATGTTTGTGTCACAGTTTCTTCCTTTCCCATCATGCTACTGAAACTAATTTGCACAGTTAAATAGAAAATCTTCAGCGTAACATTAGCTTAGGTTTATGGCACAGCTGTGTGAGTGAGTGTGAGTGAGTGAGTGTGTGTGTGTGTGTGTTGTGTGTGTGTGTGTGTGTGTGTGTGTGTGTGTGTGTGTGTGTGTGTGTGTGTGTGTGTGTGTGTGTGTGTGTGTGTGTGTGTGTGTGTCATGAATACTGACAGTCAATATTTGTAGAGCCTCTGAGGGAGGTCTGTATCCATCTTTTCCTCTTGCTTATGTCTCTAGAGACCATGAGGTAAGAGTGTGTATGTCTCTTTGTGTGTCTGTGTGTGTTAGGGACTCCTGTGGTGTGTCAGGAGTCAGAGATGGTGATTAGCTGAGTCACATTTCTCTTTGTAATGCCTGACACGCTGCTGAATCATGCTGCACTTTTTCTTTATAGGACAGTTATGATGCTTTCTCAGTGTTGCTCTTAACATTTCCCACAAACACTCTCTTTGTCTCTCTCTCTCTCTCTCTCTCTTCCTTCTCTCATACACACATACCCACTTGATGATGTTTAGGGAGGAAGATGGCAGCCTCCACCCTTCTGGCGTTTTGAACTTGTTAGCCTTGTCATTGTGGTGATGGACGTTGGTCTAAATTTGATACTGTTTCGTTTTTACTCCTTCTCTGGTGGTTAACGTCACTTGGTTCTGTACTGTAAAATCATGGGAACATTTCTGTACTGCCTCTCTGTTGTTGCTTTTTACCTCATGCAAATTATTGTAGTATAAATCAAATCAGACTAAAATACAACAGAACAATAATCATCCTGCCTTAGAAATTTGCCAATTGTCCATTAACAATTAGCAAATATTAGCATATTATATACCTGAATAAAGAAAATGAGGAGTTGTATAAAAGAAGCAACATTTTTATCCCTAGAACACGAGTATACTAGAAATGTATGATGAATGATGATAAGTATGTAAAAATGAATGTGTAAACTAAGGCTGCCACTAATATTTATTTTGGTTATTTATTAATCTGTCAAAATGTTTAATCATTTAGTCAATAAATGGCAGAGAATAGTGACAAATGGCAGTTTCCCAGAGCCCAGTGTGTCAGCTTCAAATTGGTCGTTTTGTCCAAAAAACAGCAGCAAATCCTGAACATTAGAGAGGCTGGATTCAGGAATTGCGTGCCATTTTTCTTAAGAAATTACTTAAAAGATTGTTTTGATTGTACTTGTTTACCAGTTACTTGATAAATACTGGATGTAGAGTGGACAAAAAAAACATACATTTTTCCAATTCCAGTCATTTGGTCAGAATGTGAAATATGTTTGTTCTCGGATCTGTGCGTGGAATGAAGGAGAAAAAGAGCCAGAAAATAGGCTTCATGTATGTAAACACATATATAAATTATATATTATAGTCTGTTGTTTCCTTCTTGCAATATTTTGCTCTAAACGACTGTCACTCATTTCTGCATTTAAAGAGAAATTCTACTTTTCTGTCTACAATTGCATAGGAACTGACCTCAGGAATGTGCTTTGCTGGCACCTCCATTGTATTTTATTGCGCTACTCCGCTGCTCATTTTTATGGGTACAGACTGCTCTTTCAGTCTGACTACTATCATTAAAGAGCACGTTTTCTTGCCATGATGTAATTTCCTGTCCACTTTAGAAAACTATGTATGTAAGTATGTGAGAGCTCAGGAGAAGTATGCACGAATCCCCATGCACAACCAGCACGCTTAACAGTATTTTCCCATCTGCATTTACTCAGAGAATGTGTTTTTGAAAATGACTGATGAGTCATATGATATGAGCACTAATCAGTTTTGTGCATTTGAAACATTTTTGTAGGACTCCTGCTCGTTCCGGAGAGAGTTATGGGCTCCACTGTTGTTAAGATGTGTGGGTGGATCAAAGAACATTTTTTCTGCTGTTTCTTTTCATCATCGTTCCTTCTTTTTCATTCCTACTCGCTCTTTTTTCTCCATCTTAATTTGTATATTTAGTAAAACCTCTTCACTGCCCTTACATCTCTCTCACTTGACCTACTAACCTCTCTGTGTCTGCCTGTTTCTTCTTCATCCCTTCCGCCTGTTTCTGTGTCTCTTTCCCTCCTCGCCGGTCTCTTAATGAGAGCAAGCCGAGTGAATGTGTGGCATAGAACAAACAGACAGAGGAGATAAAGAGGTGTTGAGAGGAGGAGAGGAGGATGAGGGAAGGGAGAGAGAGAGAGACGGGGAGAGAGCTGTGAAAAGCTAAATAGGCTACACTTGAAAAAGAGAGCCGGATCAGACAAAGAGTGTGAAGCTGTCACATGTATTTTGTCTGCTGTGCAGTTAAATGAATCATGTCAGTGAGCAGGTTTAAAGGTGCACCATCGCTCCAGACTAGAGGTAATCTGCCGAAAGAATTATTTCAGTCAGCACATTTACAGAGACAACTGATTTTTTCAATAGAAACATTTTATTTCACATATCAAACCAAAGGAACTCGTTAAGAACAAGCAGATTTTTTTAATATTTATTTTTTTTATCCCTGCATTAGATTTTAAGAATTATTTTGGACAAAAGATGCCATGACATCTTGTTTTTTTTAGCAATCTTTTAAGTTTTGAATGAATGTACCTGGGTGAGCTAGAGGGACTTGAGTGGATGAAAAGATGGATGGATAAATATTTACTGAATGTCTTAACAGTCAATAGCTGAATAAAGAAATACCTACTGTAGTGTTGATAAAAAAGATAAATGCAGTATTTTTGCCATGAAGATAATTACTTATTAAATAAGATGGCTGTATTTGGATTACTTATAATTAATCTCTGATATTTTGTTTTGTAAATTTGCCAAAATGCTCTCATCTTTGTGGAGTTTTGTTTTCCGGCATCTTTAAAAAAAAAAATCAATTTAAAAATTGCAAATAAAAGAACTAAACCATTCAAGGCATTACTAAGCCCAGACAGAATGAGCCGGAATGTGGGTGTTAATCACGTTATTCGTTGTTATTCACTGATTAGGATTTTCCTCCATTAAAGCTGTGAACTGTGAGCGGAGGTGCAGACAGACTGGGTGCAAAAGTAATGGCAGGGGCAGAATGTATAATAGCTACTGTCTGCGGGGTATGTAGAGCATGGAGAAATGGTCTGTCACTATCTGGGGGCAGAGGGGTATTTATAGGAGAGCAACGAAGGGAGGATAGCGGGAGGGGGGGGATATTGTCGAGACTAGAGGAAAGGACAGAAAATAAGAGTCAAATCGGAGGAGAACGGCAGATCATCGTGGAGAGCTTTCAGACGTTCAGAGAAAGATAAAGAAATAACGGGATAGAGGGACAAAGCGAGAGGATTTTTCCATGTATTGCTTTTGTCCTCCATCTGACTCTTTTTCGACTTCTTCATTTCATTTTTATCTTCTCGTAGCTGCGGTACATATCGCCGGCTCTGATAGTCCGAAGAGGGAGAGAGAGGAAAAAAAAAGATGTGAAAATCTCTTTCGTCCACTCTTTGAAGCCACCCCCTGCCCTGCTTTGTTTCTACCTCCCTCTACCTTCTCTCCCTCTCCCTCTCGTTCTCTGTAACTGATCCAGCTCGGCTCATTTCAAACCTAAACATGTCTGTCTGGCTCCAAAACAGACCAGGCCACCCCTCTCCCCTCTCCCCTCTCCCCTCTCCTCATCCTCCTCCCCTCCCCCACCAGACCCCATTTCCAATCCAGAGGGATGATGTCATGCCGATGCTTAGAAAGACGAGGGAGCTCAGGACTCTGTGTGTGTGTGTGTGTGTGTGTGTGTGTGTGTGTGTGTGTGTGTGTGTGTGTGTGTGTGTGTGTGTGTGTGTGTGTGTGTGTGTGTGTGTGTGTGTGTGTGTGTGTGTGTGTGGAGGGCGGCCATGGGATAAGGGGTCATGGGAGTGGGAGGTGATGTTGTAAGATTATTTTTCAAACTTCTCAACAGTGATCTCACAGTGAATTACTGTGTCAGTGAGAGAGAGAGAGAGAGACACAGTGAAAGCGCAGCCCTCCTCTGTCTGCTTCTTCTTTATTAGCGTTCCGTCAAATAATAGCACTAGTTCATAACACAGTACGTATATAAATAAAAACCTTTTGGGTATAAACGCTCAATACTCTTTTGGTACCAACCAAAATGTGTCACTAGCACCAAGAACTGAAAGCTGGCGCCAAATGTCTGCTCAGATTCTTGGTCTTGTTTACTTATTTCTTGAGTACACTTTGCTGTAGTTGAACTTTTTGTACAGCTGCTTGTATTCAGACTAACATTTGAGAACTTTGTCTTCTCTCATAAATGAAAATGTTACAACAAAACATGTTGTTTTTTTAGGCAGTTGTATCGGCACTAATTTGAAATGATACAATTAAAAACAAAATTAATTCATCTCGTGAAAGCAGCACGATCTGCAGAGCAGCAGCTCCAGTCCTCAGTCAGCATCCATGATGTGTTCAGGCACAGTACTGAGTGTAGGTCACCCGCGTTTGGCAATCCAATACACCATTATTAAGTGTAAAAATGAAAGAAAATAGATGTGAAGCGTAAAAATATGCTTTGGGTCGCAGTTACATAAGTATAGTAAAACACAAGCCATTACGTGGCCTATAGAGACCGATGTATTGAGTTGTCA